AACGATGAGTAAGCGTATAAGAAGAGGGCATGTGACGTCCAGAGGACGCTGACTGAGCGATGAGTAACGCTGAGTAAGGGAGCATAATCGACATAAGGTCAGATAGTCCATGGCTGAGTAATGCGAGTAATCCGGACGCTATCTAGAATAGTCCGGAACATCGTAGAACGTACCAGAATCATATGGAGGGATGGCAGGATGCCAAGTAAGTACAGAACAAAAGAATGTACATATATGGTAAGTAGGAAAGTCCATGCTGGCGTATGGTAGACGCATAGCCACTATCATTGCCACTCCCGGTCTGGTGCAGCCGTAGACACAGAAGTTCAACAGATAAAATCAGTATGTTGCCATTCACATTGTGTCGCTGCTCACAAACTTGAAGCGGACCGTTCTGAACTGAAAAAAGCTCTTGACGGTGGCCCCCGGTCCGCCCTTTAGACGTATAGCCGGGAATGTCGCTTTCTTCAAGTCCGAGTCGGTAACCGGAGAAAGGAGTGAGAGAGGAAGTGAGAGAACGAGAGCCTGAGGAAGAATAGAGAGAATACGAGGAAGCAACAGAATGAAAGGAGGGAGGGAGCGGAAGTGATTGAGCTTCGACTGCGAGCCTAGGATGACACCCGGATCACTAAGTCCAGCGGTCTCGACTAGGCCTGCCTCATGCTACCTGTGCTAGTAGCTTCAGATGACCTCTGTGTGCCATTAGCCGGCCTCAGTACACCTCAGCGTGACCTCAGCGCGACCTCAGCGCGACCTCAGCGCGACCTCAGCGCGACCCAAGCTCGACTGCAGCGCGACTGCAGTGTGACCTCAGTGCCGACGCAGTTACGCCAAGCTTTCAAAATCAACTATCGATTGCAAAACATTACCAGCAACGTGCGCTGTCTGAACTCACTTTGCTGGGCAAAAGCCGGCGGGCATTGATGCTAGATTAGCGTATAGAGGTTCGCAAGTAGACAGTGACATATGCCAAAAAGGGTCAAAACGGACAATAGAAGCTGCATTTGGACTTAAAGTTGCGACTTGAACTTAAAGTTGAGAGTTCGCGGCGGAAGTAAAACATTTTTGTACAAATCGATCGTCATAGTATTCGCATATCGCACTATCAGCCGCGTAATTTCAACGCAAGTGTGAGGGACAAGTGAGGGACGTCGAGCAACCTAACCGAGAAAATTGGCGCCCGCGATGAGCGTACTGATGCTTACGTCATCCCCATTTGTGGACAACACGAGGCTATCGCCGACGACGGCCGTCTTGTACTGGAACAGCTTGAACTTGAACTTGAACTACTCTTGTGCTCACTCATTGGACATACTGGCTGGTCTACACTCACTGTACTAGTTCGCTGCCCAAACAACTTTAGTTGGTATAGTACTTGTCAATGTCCTCTGAGTCCGCATCCGAAGATGACAGCAATCCGCCCTGGTATACCTTTTTCCCGCATGGGGGTATGGACCCTGCTGGCGTTCCCGACCGTCTCTTACGCCACCCCGAGCTGCAACAACGGGGAATTGTCCCCTATGGTGCTATGAAACCCGTACGAAAGCGTCTTTTCCAATAATTCTGCTGCTGCAACTGATGCCTCTTCGCAGGGTGTCGTATTCTGCACTAGGGATTTATCGGACAACACTCCGCGAGATCCCATCCAGGTTATCAAAATTCTTGACACAAACGGCGAAGAGCTTCCCATTTACGAGCTCCTTCTACGCGAAATCGATCGTCCCAATAACCACACCGTCCCGTCTGAGATCACAAACGCTGGCCATCCGCTGCTGATCATGCCGTTCGTTGGCTACCTCCGCCATATGCATGGGCTCAATTGGTCTCCACGGAAACTGGTAGAGTTTCTTTTTCAATTTGTAGAGGTACGTCGCGCGATGCTGGACCTTTGATAAGTGGCTAAAATACGTTCAGGGACTCGAATATCTGCATAGCCTGCACGTCGTTCATATGGTACGTACGCGGCAAAACCCATATTCCTTATGACGACGAGCGAAGCTGACTGTCATGGACCAGGACATATGTCCGCAAAACGTTTTAGCGGGGCTGCCCCGAAACGTAGAGGTGCACAAGAGTATTGTGGCGCATAGAGTGTACATCATCGACTTCGACATATCCCGGCGCTTCAAGCTGGGCCCTGGCGTCCAACCTGCGATAACGCTCCCGGACACCCAAATCTCACCACCGAACGGCCTCCGACATTTCGATCCTTATTCCTGGGACGTGTACTGCATGGCACTCACAATGGAGTCTGTTATACAGGTGAGCTATGTTTGCCTCTTCAACCGTACTGCATCCTCTCATCATAGTCGTACGATGACCAGACAGTCTACAGGGACGAGAAGGTGCAGCCATACTGGCCCGCTAATAAATTCGTCCAGTGGCTTGTCGGCAACGAACGAGGGTGCACCGGCGTATGCCGCTGCCGGCCGACAGCACGTACGGCGCTGCGCGTCCTCGTCATCCTTCGGTGGGCGGTCTACGCGACGGAGTGCTATGACTGGCTCGTTCGCTCTCTGTCGCGACTCCGTGCTAAACTCGGAGTTGGCACGGCACGACGTACCCCCGACGACCCGCAGACAGATCTTTGAAACATGCGATTTTCTGGGTCCTGTGTCATACTTCGTGAAGAGGGCTCTTACTCATGCGCATTCTATGTTTGTATGGAGCAGGCAGGGCCGTGCACGCATTCCCAGGTCCCCGTGTTACACCCTCGGACTCCGCAGGGTCTCTCAGTGCGCCCACAACACAATCGCACTCCCCGTGGGCGTGTCTAATCGCGGTGGAGAACACACGACGCTACGTAGGCGCCGTGAAAACGCGCGGAACTCCTAGGTGTTGGTTCGCGAGGGAGGCACAGATACCGACGTCGATGCAGGCTAATATTGGGTGAGAAAGATACGAAGGCATGTACAGGCCGTAATATACAGGAATACAACGCAGTTGGCTTCCCCGCCGTAAGGGCAAGTACTGGACCCGGGGGCCACGGTGAGGCCTGCGTTATCCCCGGGAAATACCCCATACACGTCCCCCGTGATCTACATTACGCTGCTATCTTACGTCGTGGGTCCGTGCTTGCAATGCAAAACTTCAGAGCGTCGTCCGAGGAAGGCGTCCAGTCGAGGACACTGCGAGCTTGAACCTGGACCGTCCGGAGTCGACGTTGCGAGCGCCGTGGGCCGGTCTTCATGTCCTTCGAAGTCCGTGAAAGCCATCTTGTCTGCAAGCTATCCAAACCAAAACAGAAAGGGAGACCATTAGTGCGTATGTCGGAGGAATCACACCTACAATGGATGGTCAGCGCGTACTCGATGATGGCAGAAGGTAGCGACGTACCGTGACGGCGGGTCAAGGTCGCTTCCGCGAAGTCTCCCCTCCCCGGGAGTCCAGCGCGGGGCTCGGACCGCAGGCGTCTTTGTGAGTACTGGTCTGCGGACGATGTTCAACATAAGGCGAATGGACAAAAGAGGCAACAACGTACAGGGAGAAGCACGGGTGTGCGCATCAACGCCCGTCCTATGTGCATAGGGGGACCGGTAATGAGCGAGTGAATAATGCACTCTTGGTCGGGGAGGAAGAGACGTCGTGGTGTGAGGGGAAGAAGATATGGGTGAGAAGAGGGCGTCTTATACACCGCGAGCCGGCTGGAGAGGCTGACTGGGGGCGAACCTCTCGGGCCGGCGCCTAGGGAGCGAACAAGGTGTGGTGGTTGAGTTTCGGGGCTGCCTGGTGTGGCGGATAATTAGAACTGTTCTTCTCAGCCGTCCGATCGTGATCGATATGTGGCGGTGTGTGCTCCCGGGCACGCGGTAGTTGCAGAGCTGCTACTCTGTAGTTGCCGGCGGTATTCGCGGCCGGATTCCGCCGGCGTTTGCATTGGAGGACGTGTTGAACCGATCAGAACCACTGGCAGAGAAGTGTGTGAACGCTAGTAGTATCATGTGGAGCGGCGTTAGTTGTAAGTTGGATCCCTGGTCCTGCGATGCTATCCGGCACACTGGGAGGAGCGAGAGCTTAAACCAAACTAGAATTACTGAGCCTCCCCGGCCGACGTCTTCCGAGTTCTGCAGAAGATCGGTTTACGAAGGCATTGTTTGAAAACGCAACATCTAACTGGGACGGAAGCGTCAAGATTCTGTGCCCTGCACGTTGTCGGACGATAGTGACAAAGACCTGTGCGTCTGCACTCGTTCTCGTGCAATAACCTGAAGGGACACTGAACGAGCCTCGATCAATACATGTGAGGGCCGGGTTCATCTGACTAACGGAGCCCGTGTCAGTACGCGCGCGCGCGAGGCTGCATATCAACCTACCAACCTTGAATACGAAGACATAGTATTTCCCCCGAAATAGACGTATGGACAGGGGACCTTGAGCCCGCTGCACAGGCATATTTACATCCCGTGCACGTGCAACCATAAGTTGCCGCACTGCGGGGTTCAAACTGCTTAGAGATCCAATAGTATGGCCTCGCGTAGCGTCAGTTGCGACTCGTCCACAAGCGTGATAGAGCCTGCGCCATCCACCGATAGCCCTCCGCAGTATAGGCCGCCCACCGAAGAATCACTAGGACGCGCAGCGCCGTGCGTGCTGTAGGTCGACAGCGACACACGCCGGTACACCCCCGTTCGTCACCGACGAGCCACTTCACAAATCTCCTAGCAGGCCAGTATGCCTGCTCACCCGTGTCCCTGTACACCAGCTGGTCGTCAAATGACTATGGTGAGATGATGCGCTCATCGTTGAAAACATGGACAGCGGCTCGCCTTCATAATAGACTCCATCGTGAGCCCCATGCAATATACGTCCCACGAGTAAGGGTCGAAATGTTTGAGACCCTTCGGAGGGGGATATTGGGTATCGGGGAGCGTGATTGCAGGCTGGACACCAGGCCCCAGCTTGAACCGCCTCGCAATGTCGAAGTCAATGATGTAGAGTCTGTACGCAACGATGTCCTTGTGCACTTCGACGTTGCTTGGCAGTCCTAACAGGACATTGTGCGGAGATATGTCCTAGTGGATGGTAGTCAGGCACATTGAGCGTCGTAAGCTTCTGGGGGCGAACGTACCATATGGACGATGTGATGGCTATGCAGGTACTCGACGCCCTGAGCAAAATCAGTTACCGGGTCGTGCGAGGGAATTAAACCGCAACACGCACCTCTACGAACTGATAAAGAAAGTCTACCAGAAAACGGGGAGAGGAATAGGGATCGTGAAGATCCCAGATAGAACCAATGAACGGCATGATAAGCAACGGGTGGCCAACAGTTGTGATCTCGGACGGCAGAGTGTGGTTATTGGGGCGATCGAGCTCGCCTAGCAGGCGTTCATAAATGGGAAGCTCTGCCCCGTTTGTGTCAAGAACTTTGATGACTAGGGCGGGGTCGAATTGCGGAGCGTTTTCCAAGAAGCCCTTGACGCTGAATACGGCACCCTGCGTAAAGCATTAGTTAGCGCAGGGGATACATCAGCAAACAATTTGTCTTACAGGTTTAAAAGTACCAGTTGGTACGATGCCCCGCTTTTGCAGCTCGGAATGTTGTAGGAGACGGTCGGGAATGCCGCCGGGATCAAAACGTCCATCGGGCAAGAAGGTGTACCAGGGCGGATTAGGGCCGCTGTCACTGTCGGGCTTGGGTTCGGAGAACATCAAACGGCGAAATACCAAGAGCTGCTTTTTGGACAGAAGAATACCAGTATAGCAAGGATGGTGCCAGCGAGCGACTCGTATGGCAAGAGGGATGAATCGCTCGCCGGCGAGAGCCTCGTGTTGCTGATTACGAGTATTGATGACTAAGCATCTGGGACACTCGACGCGGCGGGCGCCTTTCTCAGTCCTTCCTCGACGTCCTCCACTAAGTCCACTACCTGCTCGAGCTCTTTCTCGCACTAATTACGGCCCGCGGGACAGCCTCTGATGAAACTTGTCATCTGTATCTGGGCAAAGAATCATAGTTGCAGATTCCAGAATTTGAAGACCTCCGTTGAAGCCCTCGGCGGAATTTGGCCGCGCACGCCCGCGGACTACAAGTGGCTATAAACCCTGCTATCCCCTATCAGCGTGCCCAGGAGCACACGCCGCCACGCGTCGATCACAATCGTGTGGTTGACAAGAAGGAGCACCGCCGCACCAGCCTAAAGTCAGCGCAGGCAAACACCACGTGCACCGGCAGCACTTGTTCGCTTCCTAAGCGCCAGCACTAGCCAGCCTCTTCAGCCAGCTCCCGGTGTATAAGACGCCCTCTTCTCGCCCGTATCTTCTTCCCCTCAACCACGACGTCTCTTCCTCCCCAACCAAGAGTGCATTATTCACTCGACCATCATCCGTCCCCCTAGGCACATAGGGCGGGCGTTGATGCGTTCACCCGTGCTTCTCTTGGTACGTCGCCACCTTCTATCATAATCTGCGCCATGCTGACCTTCTTCTATAGACCAGTGCTCGTCAAGACGCCTGCGGTCTGAGCCCCGCGCTGGACTCCTGGGGAGGGGAGACTTCGCGGAAGCAATTTTGACCCACCGTTGCGGTACGTCATGGCCTTTTACCACCCCGAGCCCGTGCTGACTATGCATTGAAGGTGAGACTCTCCTCCGATATACGTACTAATGTGCTTGCTTCTGTCCCGTGTCTCTTGTCTCTTGTATGTGGCTCGGTTAGGTTCTTCTCGGCGCGATCCTCGACTACGGCGACATGAAGACTGACCCCGGGCGCTGGCAAGATCAGCTCCGACGGCCCTAGGTTCCAACGTTCAAGCTCAAGCTCAAGATTTCTTTCAAGTCGACGGGGCCTGGACGACGGTCTGAAGACTGGAATCGAGGGTACTGGCTGGCGACGTAGTGTAGATCTCGGGGGACGTGCATGGGGTATTTCCCGGGGATAGCGCAGGCCTCATCGCGGCCCCCGGGTCTAGTACCTGTCCTTATGGCGGGGAAGCCAACTGCGCTGATGTTTGTATTCTCATCCTGTGAATGAATGGATATTTGTGTTTTTGGTGCTTCTATCCGGTCGGCTGTGGGTCGGCTATAATGCCATCTTACACACCTACCATATGTGGCCAGGGCACTCGCGCATCAAACCTTACTTCGGCGTTTGTTATTCAGCCCCACGACCGCCGCCCGCCGGGTATGTTTCGCTCGAGCGTTTGGTAGCACACCATGCAGTTACCGCATCACGCATCGCCGGCGAGCACTCCCCACCGTGCCTGGACCCAGAGTCAGAAGGCATCATAGCGGTCCCGGCGGCAAGAATCGCGTTACTCACGAAGAACCTGCGGATCGCGGTTTTCGAGTCATTCTCGCGAAACTCGCGCTGGCAGAACTCAATCTGTTAAAGGCGGGACTCAGGCGGTGGTGACAACATTGCTTTCGTCTCTTCTACCTTGGGCTGTTCATAATTCTGGCCTAGTTTGAGTCACACCGTACTCGCCTCCGTATCATGGACTTGGATACGCTGCGCGATGTTGTACGGGAACACGTACTGGCTCCTCAGGTCGTGCTAGCTGCGTTCAACGAATCTAGGTACGCGTCACTGCTGCAACGCGTTTAACGAATAACGCTGACATTTGCTCGATTCTAGTATCTGGACAGATACCTTGTTCGTACCTGCTTACTGTGCCGTCTTGTCTGTGGTCGTGCTACTGCTCGTTACGTTTCGGAGTTCGCGCTCTAAGGGCGACGTGCCGACCCAGTTAGGACGCAGCAATATCGCGATTTTCACCTGGCGACTCGTTCAGCTCCTGACCGTCTTGACCCTGCTCGGCATCTCGATTTACTCTCTTTTGGGACATGCCAGTAGAAACGAAGACCTGGGGCTTGGCGTTTTGATTGCACAATGCGTACTATATGTAGGTCGCGTGTTGATTCTTTCAAGCATCGCCCTAACGCGTACTGTCTACAGTCATATGTTGGCATACTATGCTTGCTTGCTACACTCGGCAACTCTTCACTTGGACACCGCGCGTTCGCGTCTGCGTCATGCCTGCTCGCGGTGACGTGGTGCGTATACATGTATCGCGACGTCTGGCCCCTCGCGACCATGACCGTATCCCCTGCGGACCTAGCAGAAGGGAAACTCCTGTGGGCGAAGATAGCCTTGATCTCCCTCGCGGGGGTCGTTATCCCACTCCTCACGCCTAGGCAGTACAACCCCGCCCAGTCCAAGGTTCGAGCGTTTTGCTTTCTTCTGAGACGCGCTCACTCATTTCGCGGCGCCAACAGCACGAGTCACAAGTGGAACTTGCGCCTGAGCAGACAGCGTCTATACTGTCGCTGCTCGTGTTCGGGTATCTAGAGCCCATAGTCTGGAAGGCGTGGCGCGCTTCGCGTCTTACCTACGAGGCGCTTCCGCCGTTGCCCGACTACGACTACCTGACGAACCTCAGACGTCAAAGCTTTCCCGTATGTCCTCAGCCTGTGAATGTTGGATTACTCATAACACGCGTTATCAGCATTTGGACCCGTTGCAGAGCAAGTCGCGCCGGCACATCGGGTTTGGCTTGATTCGAGTGTTCTGTGAGTCTTGACGCTGTGCTTCGCCAGTCGATCTGCTACTGAGTGCATGCATCTACTAGGGGCTCAGCTGGCCAATCTGGCCATCCTAGACATCCTTCTGGTGAGTACCTGATTCGCGTTTTACCGCAGTCGCCCCCGAAATCCTGACGAGATTTAAGGTACTCGCGTCATTCGCGGCACCTGTCAGTGTCAACCAACTCCTCACGTATGTCCCCTCGAGGTCCCGTTCTTTACATGGTTTCACGAATGTGATGAATTGGTCAGGTACATGGAGACTGGCGGAGCTGGCGCCGAGATACGACCTTGGTTCTGGATCGCGCTGTTCTTCGTCGGAAGCGCTCTCAGCGACATGCTTGTCCAGTGGTTCATCTTCAACCACGTGAGGAGCCCCTCCTCTACCTGTACAGAAAGACGCTGAACTTGTGCATAGACCAGGATCAATATCCGCGTGCAAGCTATGATTACGGACCTCGTCTTCGAGCACGCACTGCGCATCCGCGTGAAGGCCGGGACAGCTGACAGTGACGACGGTGATGTCAGCGACGGCGCAACTTTCCGGGACGAGACCGTAGTCGAGACCGCAGACCTGCCAGACGAGGCGCCTGCAAACGTCGAAAGCACTTCAAACGCACCGACGAAGGGAAAGGGAAAGTTGACGGGGGCAACTGAGCCCCGAGTCGGTGTGGCCAAAGCGGATCGTGCACAAGGGAACACAGAGAGCGCCCATCTCATCGGGAGGATCAACAACCTGGTATCCGGCGACCTGCGTACCCTGGACGACCTAAGCCAGTACGCGGTCTTCTTCAGTAGGTCTTTGTGCTAGGCACACTCTTGCCAGACGCTTACCGGAACTTCTCGGACACAGCGGTAGAGTGGCCGCTTCAGGTGACCTTGTGCACTATCTTCCTGTACAAAGTCTTAGGATGGAGGTATGTAATGCCTTCACTTTGTGGCACTCTGATCTCAGCTCACGGACCCGTCTTGTGCAGCGCGATTTTGGGGATTGTCTTCATGGCGTGCATGCTTCCCGTTCCTGGCTATCTGGCCAAGAGCGTGGAGGGCGTGCAAGCTGAGAAGATGAAGCGCGTACGTTTCCCGCTATCACAACTTCTCACTTTTCACGTCACTCACAAACCTATGTAATTGCAGACAGACTCGCGCGTCCAAGCCGTCACTGAAAGTAAGCATTCCGTGCCGTCATCGGAATAACGCCAGCATCTGACTTGTTTTTCCCAAGTGATGAACGTCATCCGCATGATCAAACTGTTCGGTTGGGAGGATCGCACAGCGGCACAGCTCGACGAGAAGCGTGAAGTCGAACTACGTTTAGTGCGCAGAACTAAGATGCTGACGTCCTGCATCAACCTATGCAAGTACGTCTCGCAACCTGCGACGTCGAATAGGCGAGCACGCATTGACAACTTGATAGCTATGCATTGCCGTACTTCGTCATGCTCACGACCTTCTTCACCTACGTAAGTGGCTTCGTGACCGTACCAACTCTGGTGTAGCATCATACTTATCTCTCCATAGACCGTGATCATGAAGAAAGAACTGACAGGTACGTATACCATGCAGTTTCACAGTACTTGCTCTAATTCCCCACAGCTTCGACCGTGTTCTCCTCCATGACGGGTAAGCATCTATTCCGTACCAAAAGCACAACCGCCATAGCTCACGCGTTGGTCCAGTGTTTGACATGCTCCGGAGAGAGATGCATTCGTTCTTCTACGTCCTGCCGCAGGTGATGCAAAGTATGCGAATTCCATCACCGCTCCACAGTCGCTATGCTGACAACCCAATGTAGCATCGGTCTCCTTGAACCGTATTTCCGACTTTCTGTGGAATGTGAGTACGCGTGTCTTTGCCCCGATGGTCTTTCCATCTGACCCAGAATCAGACGGAACTCATCGACGAGTTCGCGGGCGAGAACAAGTCAGATGGCGAAGAGATCTGGCCGAACACGGTCTCACACGATCGTCAAGGTGTCATTGGCATCCGCCACACCTCCTTTACCTGGTCCAACGACACAGCCCCCTCGCGTACTCCTGGCGGGACGCGCAGACGGCAATTCGTGCTGACCGTAGACGATGAGCTGCTCTTCCAACGCGGGAAGATCAACTTGATCGTTGGCCCTACTGGATCTGGGAAGACGTCCCTCCTCATGGCACTGCTGGGTAAGTAACGCACTTTTCCCCATCAAACACGATCCAGTAGCTCATCATAAATGTGTAACGCAGGGGAGCTGCACTACATCCCCTCGGGCCCAGACGCGTTCGTAAGTCTTCCGAGAGAGGGCGGTGTTGCGTATGCGGCGCAGGAGTCTTGGGTGCAGAACGATACGATCAGGGTGCGTCCGTTGCCTGATTGAAAGAGGAGTTGGCGCCTGACAAATGTGCAGAACAACATCCTCTTCGGCGCCCCCTACGATCAGACACGGTACGACAAAGGTGAGCGAAGCATAGTGCAGCAATTTCAATCGGCCTAACGCTACGCGATTTAAGTTCTCGAGCAATGTGCATTGAAGCGTGACTTGGCCCTGTTCGACGCTGGCGATCATACGGAAGTTGGAGAAAAGGGTATCACTCTAAGGTATATTTCAGCGACACATTGATGCAGGACAGATTGTTGAAATTGCGGGTATACAGCGGCGGTCAAAAGGTAATGCTTTTTACAAGGGCAAAACGCTGGGGTACTGACTACTTGCAGGCTCGAATTACACTTGCTCGCGCGGTGTATTCCTCTGCAGACATCCTTCTGTTGGATGATGTGAGGTGCCCTTTCCATCTCCGTGGTGCTTATGCTCATCGCGCCATCAGATCCTTGCTGCACTCGACGTGCACACTGCGAAATGGATCGTCGAGAGATGTCTCAAGGGTGATCTACTTCAAGGGCGCACTATCGTGCTAGTCGTAAGTCTTCAACTCGTTTACACTAACTACTTCTCACGACTGTAACTCCGCAACCAGACCCACAATGTTGCCATGGTCGCCCCAATCGCAGACTTCGTCGTCGATATGGGTGCCGACGGGCACATCTTAAGTCAAGGCTCCCTCGACAACGTTCTCAAGCACGACTCGCACCTCGTTAAGGAAGTCATTGAAGAGCGCGAGGAGTTAGAGAAGGCCGAGCGCGAAGTTGACCTCGAGAAACCCGAGGATTCTGTGGCCAAGCAGACCGCGGGAAAGCTCGTGGTCGCCGAGGAAATGGAAGATGGACATGTTGGGTGGTCGGCCCGTGCGTTCTCTTCCAATAACCACTCCGGATGCACTCGAGTTGACATGTCCTTGCAGTCAAGCTGTATCTCGGTAATACGTCCAACCGGCCGACCTTGTTCTGGACTGTTTACGTCTCCGCTCACGTCGTCCATAACCTCCTCATCAACGCTCAGGTGAGCACTGCTCTCCATCCCGAGACCTTCAGCGTCATCCTCAGACATACTGCTTCTCAGGCCTGGTACCTCGGTCGCTGGGCGTCCCAGTACGAGACTCACCCCGCAAGCGAGATTTCTCTCAGCCAGTGAGTATCCGCATCTCCCCCTATATGCACTGATGCTCACCCTACATAGCTACCTGACCCGGTACTCTGCGATGATCGTGATTAGTATGGCGATCGCAGTGTTCTTCGTGATCTGGTTCCTCTACGGGAGTATCAAGGCGTCACGCATCATTCACCAGAAGCTCGTGCGGTCCGTGCTCGGCACTACGCTACGGTAAGCTCAAGTATGCTATATTGTGAGGGCGCGGATCTGAACCCTTCCGTAGGTGGCTGGACAAGACTCCGACAGCCCGCATAATCACCCGCTGCACCGAGAACATCCAAACAGGCAAGGACATCGAGCATGTTTCAATATCGTCTCATCGCTGACGGATGGAGCGCTATCTCACAGTGGACGACGGCATCCAGGGGGTCACGCAGATGCTCGTCGAACGAACCGTCTTCATGGTCCTCAAGGTCGTCGCCGTCGTCATCTTCTCGCCCATCTTCCTCCTCCCCTCCATCGTCGTCGCGGGACTGGGCGCGTTGCTCGGGAACGTGTACATGACGGGACAGCTGTCGACCAAACGGGAGATGAGCAACTCGAAGGCGCCCGTCCTTGGGCACTTCAGCGCTGCGGTCAGCGGGATCAGTGCGTATCATGTCTGACTTTCCTCGAACGAGATATTCACATGACCTCACAGCCTCTATCCGAGCTTACGGCGCCCAGGAAGCCTTCAAGAAGGAGCTGTTCGAGCGGGTGGACAAGTACAGCAGAGTGTACATCATGCACGAGAACTTCAATAGGCGAGTCCCTCCCAGACTGAGACTCAGTAAGACCCCCCGTGATCTCTAAGCCGTCGCCACACAGGTGGATTTCCGCGCGTATGGACTTCATCGGCACAGTGTTCGCGACCAGCCTCGCGGTCTACCTCGTCTACGCCTCGAGCCTGAGCGCGTCCGACACCGGATTTTCGCTCAACATGGCCAGTGCGTTTGTTCCCACTTCACACGCCCACGCCAGGGGTCGCTCACTGTGTTGTAGCGGCTTTCAGCGCTATCATCTTTGCCGTGATTAGGACCTTCAACGTATTCGAAGTTAACGGTGCGTACATCGCGAGCCATCGCTGACCTTATTCTCATACTAACCACTTTGATCACTAGGCAATAGTTTGGAGCGCATACAACAATACTTATCCGTAGAGCAAGAGCCAAAGCCCACCCCCTCCGGTGTCCCGCCCGCGTACTGGCCCGCAAGCGGCCACCTCGTAGTCGAGAACCTCTCCGCGCGATACTCTCCCGTACGTCCGCTCACCCGCACTGTCCACCCAAAACCCTGACCAGCACTCTAGGACGGCCCAAAGGTCCTGCACGACATCTCGTTCGAGGTCGCCTCGGGGGAGCGTGTCGGCATCGTCGGGCGCACCGGCAGCGGAAAGGCGCGTCCCTCTCTCCGCGTCAGTCGTGCTTGCAACTGACAGCTTGACAGAGCTCCCTGACACTCGCGCTCCTCCGGTGCATCCTCACCGAGGGCACCGTCCTGTACGACGGCCTGCCGACCTCCGCGCTCAACCTCGACGCCCTGCGCGCCAACATCACCATCATCCCCCAAGTGGTCCGTCTCTCCCCCTTCCCCCTTCTCCCCTCCCTCTCCCTCACCCTCTCCTTCCCCACTCCCAACACACGCTAACGCCTCTCCCCCTCCCACAGCCCGAGCTCCTCAGCGGGACGCTCCGCCAGAACCTCGACCCCTTCTCCGAGCACGCCGACGCGACGCTCAACGCCGCGCTGCGCTCCGCGGGGCTCTTCAGCCTGCAGGCGGAGGGGGCGGGCATCACGCTGGACACGGCGATCGCGGGCGGCGGCGCGAACCTGAGCGTGGGCCAGCGGCAGATCCTCGCGCTTGCGCGCGCGATCGTGAGAAGGAGCGGGGTGTTGATCTTGGATGAAGGTGCGTCTATAAGTGGTGCGCGCTAGTAGCGTCTGTGCTGACCCGTTTTTCGGACAGCTACGTCTGCGATTGGTACGTTTTGGCGCACAGTGGGATGGCTCTAGGCAGACGCTGATGCAGAGCCGCAGACTACGAGACGGACACGCTCATCCAGACCTATCTGCGCACCGAGCTCGGCAAAGACGTGACGCTCCTCACGGTCGCGCACCGCCTGCAGACCATCATGGACGCCGACAAGATCGTGCGTCCCTCCCCTTTCCCCTCCCTTCCTCTCCCTTCCTCTCCTCCCCTTCCCGCTGCTGACTCATCTCCCCAGATGGTCCTCGACGCCGGACGCATCGTGAGTACCCCACCCCACCCCGCGCGCTGCCCGGGATTCTGCGCACAGCTAACACGATGCGCACGATACAGGTGGAGTTCGGGAGGCCGAGCGAGCTATTGAAGAACGAGAAGGGCTTGCTGCGCGCGCTGGTGGACGAGAGCGGGGACAGGGAGAAGCTGTATGCGATGGCGCTGGGCGCGTCTGCGTCGTAGGTGCGGCTGGACATGTAGGATTCCACTTATGTATGACTCTCGGAATACACGGCTTCGCTTGGTCATGTAGCTCTGCGTGTCCGGGAGATTACGCGCGAGTGAACGAAGCACGACGCAAAAGACGCCCATTAACTGGTATTGCTATATCATGCGGAGCCAACAAGCCGAGACACAGTGCTACAGCGCAGTTAGCTTCCCCGCCGTAAGGGCGGGTACTGGACCCGGGGGCCACGATGAGGCCTGCGCTATCCCCGGGAAATACCCCATTCGCACCCCCCGAGATCTACACTACGGCGTCAGTCTGTGCCTTCGATGCCGGTCTTCAGAGCGTCGTCCATGGAAGGCGGCCTGTCGAGGACATCTTGAGGTTGAGCTTGAGCGTTGGAACCTGAGGCCGTCGGACTTGATCTTGCGAGCGCCGGGGGCCGGTCTTCATGTCGCCGTAGTCGAGGACCGCTGAAGGGAACCTAACCGAGACACCAAACCGAGACAAGAACAAGAGACAAGAACAAGAACATCAGTACGTATGGCGGAGGAGAGTCTCGCCTTCAACGCATAGTCAGCACGGCCCTGGTAATGGCTGAAGGCAGCGACGTACCGTAACGGCGGGTCAAGGTCGCTTCCGCGAAGTCCTCCCTCCCCGGAGGTCCAGCGCAGGGCTCAGACCGCAGGCGTCCTTGTGAGTACTGGTCTGCAGACGATCGTCAGCATGGACCAAGTATTGAAAAGGGCAAGGACGTACAGGAGAAGCACGAGTGGACGCATCAACGCCCGCCCTATGTGCCTAGGGGGACGGAGACGGTCGAGTGAATAATGCACTCTTGGTAGGGGAGGAAGAGACGTCGTGGTGTGAGGAAAGGAGAGGATGGGCGAGGGGGAGGCCTCTTATACACCGCGAGCACTGGAGAGGCTGACCGGCGGCGAACGTCCGGCGCTTTGGGAAGCGAAGAAGGGTGGTCGGCCGAAAGTTCACCAAGTCGTTGTTCGTAAAGAACTCGATCGGGTTCTAGAAGGTAGTCCTTTTAGTGCCTTCGAAGGCGCGGGTTTGCAGAGACGCAGGCCTTCATTGGATCATGAACGCTACGCCCATATATGCCGTGCTAAGCAGACTCTGAACATGAAGCACACAAGAGGTCGAGTGTACGATCCGTTCATGTCGGTTATAGGGATGGCGAACACCTCAGGGGCCAGTCCCCACAGCGAGCAGCCACTGAGTAGAGGGAAGCCGGCAATTCAGCTCAGATCCACCGGCGTACTAACATGACCCGGGGATCTAGGGTGGCTGAATGCCCGGGCGAGGTTTGATTTGTGAAGGGTCGGAGTGTTCTTCGGCTCCCCAAGTCTGCGCTCGATCGCCCGTGGCGCGCTATCCAACGTCATCTTCCTGCCTAGTGGACTTCTTTCGATCAATGAGGCGGGTAGTGGCAAACTAACACAGTGAATCCTTACCAGCCGCCCGCACGCTGCAGATACCTTGTGCTTGCCGCAACGTCGGGCATACGCCTAAACCGACACAACAGATACTAACTTACCACAGGCTGCCCGCGACTACGTGTGCGTCACTGGCAGCGCGGTTACGTAGGCCCTTTGCAGCTGTGACGGGCGGCCAAATGTCGTGACCCGGTCGGAGCCTGCAGAGCAGGCTACGGGAACGTTGGCGCACAGTGAACCACGTGTCAGTGCATATTTATCGTGCAACTCCGGTTTCTCAGTGACTGCTGTTTCATTCGAGACTGGTGTCTGCAGCTAGCTACAGAGCCGACTTACGGAGCTTATGGTCAAGCTTGGTTTCTGAGTCCCTGTAAAAGAGTGCGTTCAGTAATTTGGTCTTTCGGATCGTCATTCACCTCATGTTCCGGGGTTTACAGCAACACCGTGCGCAGCCTGAATGCGTAATTTCATGTCTCGAGTTTGCCAGACGACGTCTATGAATGAATATAACCGAAACGTGTTACAGGCAAACCACCGAAGGGACCACCTCGGATGGCGTGAGCTGAGGCGCAAAGAAAACCTGGCACGAGGGCTTTCCAGCATCCTCCAGAAACAAACAGCGCATGTTTTCGAGGTATATGTGGACGTATGCGGAAAAAAAACATATCAGCGACTCCTGAAGGTGCCACTTACCTTGCAGGGCATGCCCACAAACGTCCGTCAGACCTTTCGGCATCTCCTGCCAGACGCATAATGCAGAGAAAGAGGCTCTCATATGGAGTTAACTGCGAGGTTGCTCACTCCAGAGAATAGGGTGGTGAGACGGAGAAGCAGTGAGACGCAAGTAGCCAAGTCATCGTGTACGAGCCAAGATGTCACGAAGTTTGGCCCACAGGAGCAGAGCAGGGATCCCTTCTCACTAGACCCAGTTTTCCTCAGTTTGAAAGAGTGTAAATAGGTAAAGTGTGTAGTACGTCGACAGCGGCGAGAGAGCGAAGATGATGGAGGGGGCAGAAGAGAAAGACAAGAATGAGTCGGAGGACGAGACCGAATCTGCATGAGCGCGATTAGATCAAGAGATTAGATCTCGAACTGAAGCGTGGCGCCTATCTTTCTCCGACTCTCTCGTCCACCGCAGCGGTCGGTGGTCGCGCTTCGCCTTCAACCTTCATCACGTCCACCAAGTGTCCATACTCTCCACCTGCGCTCATCGCCATAACATGGCTGCTTTTTCACAAGGAACTGGTGACAGGCACCGAAACGCTCGGGTTCTACCGGAAACTAGCTTTTAGGGCCTGTGAACAACTTACAGATACCGAATCTCTCGGCACGCCTGCGGAGCGTACTCTTTCCCAGGGATATGCCGAACCCTGCACAGGAGGAGCATATGCTCAATACGTGCACAGTGAGTGGATTCCCGACGTCTGCGCTGATTATTCACCGTTCATTCATGCTCAAATTGACAGACGATGAACGGCCATTACCACCTGTCTCGGCCTCGTCCAGAATAGAGCTTGGCACGAGGCATGGGATCCAAAGTTCTCCGACAGCGCGGAACGCAATTCGCCGTCAGAACAGACGCTGTTCAGCTCCCACGGCGACGTCTTCCACGGCAGGCACAGTGCACCTCGGCGGCGCGCCCAGTATATATAACCGCTGTGAAGTCGCGCGTCGCGGCGCCTGGATCTTCCCCCCTCCATTCATCCCTTGGTACTGCTACTAATCGTCCATGGCAAAGTCTAAAGTCGAGGTGCCCGGTGCAGAGCGGTCCCCCCTCGGCCTTCGCTCGGATGTACTGCGGTGGCTGATGCGGGATGCGCCGGAGTATGAGGAGCGGAAGAAGCGCACCCAGTTCGTCCCGCCCACGATCTCCATCAAGGACGTCCACGCCGCCGTCCCACGCCATCTATTCGAGAAGAGCACCGCAAAGAGCCTGTTCTACGTCGGCAGGCACGTCGGACTGAGTGTGCTCTTCTACGTCTTCGCGACGCGGATCGATCAGCTCTCCTTCAACGTCAGCGCAGTTCTGGGCCAGGGCGAAGCGGCTAGGGCGGCAGCGTCTTGGGCGCTCTGGGCAGTCTATTGGTTCTGGCAGAGCGTGGCGTTTGCCGGAATGTGGACACTCGGTACGTGTGTGCACAGCCTCTGCGCCCACATTCGCTAACGGGTTCTCGTCATTAGGCCATGAGGTAATGTGTTGCGCGTTTGCCGAAACCACACATCTTACTCATTTCGCTGTTAGTGCGGACACGACGCGCTTTCCCCGCATGCGTGGGTGAACATGGTGCTCGGTATGGGTCTCCACACGTTCGTGCTGACTCCGTACTTTGCGTGGCGCATCACGCACCGTTCTCACCATGTACGTGTACCACACATAGCAGTCGCGGGATGGCGGGTTGACATACCGAGGCAGAAAGGGGCGAATAACCTCGCGCGGGACGAAACATATCACCCCTTCACGAGGACCGACCTAAAACTTCCCGACGCGGAGATCGCTACACCAATGGACTACAAAGAGCTCATCGAGGAAACACCTCTGTTCACGCTATTCAAGATGGTCATTCGTCAGTTCCTGTATGTGCTCGGCGTCGATTCTATGTCATCGAAGTCTGCTAATGTCCACTCCTATGTAGAGGGTTCCAGCTGTACCTAATGTACGTTCTACTAGTAGAGCGCTCTCGACGCACGCTCACGTACGCGATCTAGCCACAACCGCAAGGGTAACCCAAAATACCCCCCCGGGACGAGCCACTACAAGCCGTCCTCGAAGCTCTTCAAACCACAAGACCGTGCGTATCCAGTTTGCTTTGTGTCGTCTCAGCCTCCCTCTGACAATCAACCTTCGCAGGGATTTCGATCATCATCTCGGACGTGGCGATCGCCTGCATGTTGTCCTTCCTCGCCATCTGGTCGTACCGCACGGGGTTCTCAAATGTCTGGCGTCTCTACTTCGTGCCTTGGCTGGTACGTCCCAATCCTCATCAGTTGTATGGGCCTCTAAGCTTACGCTGCATCCGACAGTGGGCGCATAACTGGATCGTCATGTTCACGTATCTGCAGCACAGCGATCCCACTGTGCCGTACTACCGCGAGGTACGCAACGCTTCTTCGCATGTGGCGCTGAATTCGTCCTGCGCTCGTGTTCTGATCCTGTTTCATTCGATTGTAGAAGTCGTGGACCTTTGCCCGAGGAGCACTCGCGACTGTCGACCGCCCCGTCTTCGGCTGGGTCGGGCGGTTCTTCTGGCATGGGGTATGTCTGCAGCGCGTTCCCCCGTATATGAAGAGCTCACGATGACAATTGTAGATCGCACACGACCACGTCGCACATCATTTCTTCGTTACCGTCCCTTTCTGTGAGTCCATCTTTTCCAGACGCCTCGCATTCGCAGAACGACAGGGCAACGCATGTACTGACAACGCCCGCCAGACAACCTCCCAGCGGTCACCGAGGCGATCAAGCCGGTCCTCGGCGAGTACTACTGCTACGACTCCACTGTACGTGTCCGCGAGTGCCCCTCTTCGACCGAAGATCTTCGCTGACCTCGACGAACGTAGCCGACGCTATACGCGCTGTGGCGCTCGTTCACGCAGTGCACGTTCATCGAGCCCGACGGCGATGTCGTGTTTTTCAAGAATCAGCGCGGCGAGGCTGTGCGCGAGTACCGTGGCGACGATGCCCCCACTTCGTCTGCCGCAGGGGGTTCCGCGGCCCCTACGGCGAAGGAGGTGTCGTCGGAAGGAGACGAGGCGGAGGAGGTCGCGCTGAAACTGGCTGGGCTGTGAGAACATCTTGATATGACTGCTGATGCGTTCAATTGATTGCTAAAGCATGTATGCTTATCTGGCCCCCCTCCGGGATTATCACGACGCTGTTGCTAATCGCTGTGGCGGTCACCGGTCGCTGCTACTCACTCCCCTTTCAGGCTGATGATGTAAGCATCTTTGAACACGCTGGTGTCGGCTGGCCGGTACGGCGCAGTCCGCACACTCCAATTCATCGTCTTCTGTCATCGTGGATCCAACCCCCCTTCAGCATTGCGAGTTGTCTTGGTCTGTCCCTAAGAGCACCCGCCTCGGCTCCTGCTCATAGACAAACCTATTTGCTTGCCATTTGACTGCCGAACGAGCTGTACCAAACTGCAATGCCCTCAGACCAGGCTGCAATACCCTCAGACCAAGCTACAACGCCCTTAGGCTCTCCTCCCGATGGTCCCTCCGGTAACCCCCCTTGGTATGCCCCACCCTTCCCTGATGGCATTTGGAATATTGGGGGCGTGCCAGAACGTCTCCTGTGCCACCCGGTGATACAACAGCGGGGAATACACCTAAGCCACGCCCTCAAGCCTGTATGTATAACATTTTCCAACATCTGCATCTTTCAGTTCCAACACAACGACTGACGTATCGTGCGCAGGGCGTCGTGTTCATAACGCTAGTTGCACCAGCGCCAGCACTCCTAGGGACGCAGATCGTGAAGATTCTCAACACGGCTCGCGAGGAGATCGCCATCTACGAGCGACTCCTGCCAGAACTCCATCGTCCGAACAACCACACACTCCCATGCGAGATCACGCGCATCGACCACCCGTTGCTCATCATGCCGCGCATTGACTGGGTGGACTTCATCTACGGGCGCAGCTGGACTCTGCACCAACTCGTGGACGTCATCTTCCAGGTCGTAGAGGTACGCGGTCGGACTGCGTCTCCTCCTTCCTCCAGACCAGCAGCTGAACAGCGTCGGACCAGGGTATCGAATTTCTCCACAGTATGCACATCGCGCATCTGGTGCGTCTCCGGATAGAGCCATAAGCATTGTAGAGCGCAGCGCATTCTCATGATCGTACAGGACATGCACAGTGAAAATTTACTAGCAGGGGTCGATTGGGCCGCGCGCGACCACCCAGAGATCGTCGAGAATCGGGTGTACATCATCGACTTCGACAGTTCGCGGCAGTTCACACTTGGGCCTGGCGTGCAACCTGCCATTACGCTCCCTGCCACGGTCGAAGTCCCGCCCAACGGCATGACGCGCTTCGACCCGTACTCGTGGGATATATACTGCGTGGGGCGCACGTTGGAGTACATTGTAAAGGTTCGTCGCCTTCGATTGTACCACAAGATGTCTCGTTGTCTGATTAGAGGTGTGTGACACTTAGTGCGTTCAGCAGAGGACAAAGGAGCCGCCACACTGGATCGCACAGAAGTGCCTCCAATGGCTCATTTGGAAAGAGCGGGGCTGCACTAGCGTGTGCTGCTGTCGTCCGACGGCGCGTACTGCACTTCGGGTGCTGGTTGTGCTCCGATGGGCCGTATGTTCTGTAGACGATTATCCTTGGATTGTTCAGGCTCTGTCGTGTCTCCTGTGGACCCGTCACTAACCGCGCGCAAGCGCCAGGCATCATATGTAACCCCATAAGTACTGCCGTCTACCCAAACCTCCGACATATGTTCCGCATCACTGGTATGCTCTAGCCTTACTCCGTAGTCTGAAGCGACGCACATTTTACCCCATTCTGTTCGTCTTAGGGTGATGAAGCCGGCTAGCGAAGATGACCAGGATGCATGTCCAGGTGGTCTCCGAAAACGCCGAACGGCGCGTATAGACGCACAGGCCATGTGGGCATCAATATCCATGCGTCGTGTACACTTGGCTACCTGCAGGGCCCCTACTTTTTGAACGGGACACGCCTGTGAATATCGCGAGACTGCACTTTTGCGAACGCTATTTCAGGGGCGCAGGGTCGGTGCGCACAACTGCGGTGTAGATCTGGGAAGACTCGAAGCACTACGACTGCGGGCCGTTACAGATCGGCCCTCGCGACAGCGGCCTCCAGTGGGCGCATGCGGCGCACATCTGCTCTCACGCACACTGCCCTCTCCATGCCTCCACCGCGTGGCATCGATCGGCCTATGTCTCCATGTCTATGGTCCTTCCGCCAGCAGGCCCGCCGACAACCACAACGCCCCCGGGCCTGCGCCCGCGGCCAGCGTGGCCCGAGTGGTTAAAGTTATCCTGGATAATTGAAACCGACAGTGCGACGCCCGGACGATCGTCCACGAGGATAATCGAAGCAAGATTAACTTCACTCGAGGCCGCGGATACGACTATCGTGGGGCCTCGACGCTGTGGGATACGGTCAGCTGCGCAGCGGGGTGGGACACCCGCACAGTCCGCTGAGAACACAGGCAGTGAAGCGCGTGTGCATCAGACCGTCTATCTGGAAGAAGTCTCTAGGTCAGTCATGCGACCAAAAAGTGTAAAGGTACCGAGAGCTTCCCGGACGAATATGGTTGATGGCCCATATGACCAAGCAGCAACAAACAATACCATCGCTCGAACGGGGATTCGGTCCCTGCTCACGACTGGAGGTCACTCGGCATCCCGGATGCAACTCCAGATGCACTGCGAACACTCGGACACTCCGGAAATGCTCGCAGAACTATCCGTGAGCTGCGTAGCAACGTACCCGTGTCCCATGAATGCCCGACTGATTCGGCGTTGCAGTGCGCCTCAAATTGAACAAGGCTCGGAGCCTCCCGACGAAGTTTCCGTGTGAGCGATGCGGACGACCGGCTGATCCGGCCTTGCTCATTTCGATCGCTACATGTTCCGATGGTCCCGCTACGCATCTGATCCGCTGAGTGTGTAAATTGTCCCCTTATCAAAGTGGAGCACTCACGGAAGCCTCGTGTCGACCACGTGTTCCTGTGCATGCTTGCGTATCTTGGCAAGTTTCAAAGCCAGCCGAATACACTGATATGGCCATGTGTTTGTGAGGGATTCGGCCAACTGATTGTTCGTCCCAATGAGCACTAGGTACTCACACGGAGTACTGCACACGTTCTGGAGCCCTGAGCACGTCATGTCAGCCTCGGCTGCAGGTCCGGTCGCAAGGTGACGTTGCGCGAATCTCACCATCGGAAGCATGCGGAAACTTGGACGTTTACGGGGCCTGCAGGTGACACCGGAAAGAGTCCGGTGACGGCATACCTTCGAGGGGATCATGATGTCGCGCTGCTACGTGGCGGAGTATGGCGTCGATAGGTGGCGGCGGACCTGCATCGCGCAGACAGCTGTCGAGTGCTGCCAGTCCTCGACTTCTGTGAACCGTAACCATACTATAGGATGCGTATTACATCGTAGGGGATGCGAGAGGAAACTTGTAACATGCCAACGGGGTATATAGGCCTACATTCGCAAACGGTCAGTTCTGAGTCGTCCACAGACGTGCCAGTGTCTCAGCCACCCAGCGGTAGCCCTCCGCAGCATAGACCGCCCACTGGAGAACGACTATGACTCGCAGCGCGGTACGCGCGGTCGGACGGCAGCGACATACGCCAGCGCAGCCCCGTTCGTTGCCAATGAGCCACTGGATGTACTTCATGGCGATCCAATGAGGCGGCACCTTGGTTCTTCGTTCCATGACCTGTACGCAACAAACGTCTCGTTAGACGGCAAGACACTGTGAGATTAAATGAGGGCGACGCACCCCCACAATGTACTCCAGCGTACGCCCCACGCAGTAGATGTCCCACGAATATGGGTCGAACCGCGTCATACCATTTGGCGGGACTTGAACCGTGGCAGAGAGGGTGATGGCCGTTTGAACGCCAGGTCCGAGAGTGAATTGTCGCGAGGTGTCGAAGTCGATGATATATACCCTGTTCTCGACGAGCTCGTTGTGGTCGGGGACAGCCCAATCGGAACCCCCTAACAGATTTTCCATATGCACGTCCTGTGTGATCGTTAGAAAACAATTATTTTGGAATATGAGTGTTTCTGTTGGAAGACGAACCAGATGCGCGATGTGCATACTATGGAGGAATTCAATTCCCTGATGGCCGTTCAGCGACAAGTCGACGATAAGAGGTGGCGCCCTCTGACATACCTCTACGACTTGAAAAATGACGTCCATGAGATTCTGCGGAGTCCACTTGCGTCTGTAGATTTCCATTACATCGTCAATACGCGGCATGATGAGCAGCGGGTGGTCGGTGCGCGTAATCTCGCATGGGAGAGTATGATTGTTTGGTCGATGGAGTTCGCGTAGAAGTCGCTCGTAGATAGCCATCTCCTCTCCAGCGGTATTGAGAATCTTGACTACGTGTTGACCCAGAAGCGCTGGGGCTGGGGCTACCAGCGTGACGAATACCGTTCCCTATGTGCAGTATCTCAGTTGCTGCACTCGAGGCTGATCTATTCGAATTGCGTACTGGTTTGAGGGCGTGGCTCAGGTGCATTCCCCGCTTCTGAATTTCTGGGTGGCTCGATAGACGTTCGGGCACGCCCCCAATATTCCAAGTACCATCAGGGAAGGGTGGCGCGTACCAAGGCGGATTCCCGGAGCTATCGTCAACGGGTCGAAAGCACATTTTGGCGTGGCAACAAGAAGACCTGGAATTTAACTCAACGCTGAGCGGTTGAGTGTCTTGTAGGAAATCGTAGGAAGGCGTAGGATGCTGCAGAGACTTCGCAGGCAGGGGGCAAGAGAGGAGGACGATCAAACGCCACACTAGTTCAACATTAGGATGCTTACATAATCAATCCGAAACGGGATATGGGCGCCCTGGCCACGACGCTCACTCAGGCTCGTGGCACCCCTTGACAGCCTGCGTCTGGATTCAGCCAAGGCTGCTCTTGTCCGATCGCGACGACTACTAGCATACGCAGTACTACGAGTCGCTTATCGAAACTGTCGCAGGTCTCAAATACAGCGTACGCCTTCTGACGAGCTGAACCACACTGATCGTGCCTGATCCCTTCGATGGAGCCCACTGGTAGTCGAACTTCGAGATTCAGTATTCAGACTGCGACCGCGATTGTTATGAATGGCCTCCGGTGGATTCCATCCGGGTCCTCAGGTTTGCGACCATCGGACACACAAATATAACGAGATAATTCAACCATCAATATTGCGACCCACTGGGCCATGAAACTAGAAACTGCGTCATGATCTGCGCCGCCACCCCGCCCCGATGATCGTAGCTGCGCCCGCTCCTTGTGTTCGTCATTTGAGACCGCACTGTACGGAAGATATGAGGGAGCAATATTCAGTCAGATGCTGAGCTGTAGCTAACGACACCACTAACAAAAACTCACAACTCGTAGTTGGTGCTTTGTGACGCCGAAATGCTCAAGCCGTCTTCTGGTCGGTATAGTATGTGGAATCCTTGTCCTGGAACGTTTGGAGGCCCAGCCGCACTGCAGTGCGAACCCTCACGAGACCATTCTGGGGTTGGTAGACGTATAAGGTGAGGTTAAGCTTGGGGGTGTTCGAGTTGTAGATGATTTTGATCCGGTAAATTATATTGGTAGATGGGTCGAACGGGAGCTCCGCCCTTGCCGCGGTGAAGGAAGCCTTCTGCAGATGGACGATGTGACCTGTCTGGCCGACCGCTACTTCAACTTCCTTGGTAGTGGTTGAAGCCTCAAAGAGGACATCGGGGAGAAGGTTCAGACTGTCCATGACAGCCTGCAAGCACCCTCTGGTGACGTCGTCGCGCGGCATGATGACACAGTAGACTAAGGCCGGCTGATTAACATGATTGCGTAACTGATATCAGAGGTAAAGGAACGTACCACTTCGGTCGTAGTTTGAGGGGCGTAGGGGGTGTTATGAATGCTGTGAGGCTACCACGGAGGTTGCGGGAGGAGGGGCGAAAGAGAACAATGGGCGATTGCACTCGCCTCGTCGAAGGCTGACCCTCATATACGCCCGGGGACGAGGGATCAGGCAGGCCTGCACCAGTCCGGTTTTGGCAAAGAGGCTCAAGAGATGTGGGTCCTGTATGGAGGCGCTGCACATCGATAAGCGGAGTGGAAGAAAAGGGGCGGCTGCCGCCAGGACGCCCATATTTCTCATGCCCTCCGAATGGGCGAGTCGTGTGAGTAAACGCGTTCGACTCATCTGTCTGGTGCTGACAGAACAATAGGGGAACCAGAAGGGCAGCTGCACTGCCCGGTCGTGGGCGGATGATCAGCGCATTCTCAACTCCACGCGTAGAACATCAGATATCATGTATTGCTCCCGAGAAGAGGGCCAGAATCCACCGCAAGGTAGCAGCATGCGCCCGCGCCCCTGCAGTCGCGACAGCAGCGTTTTGGTCGAGCAGAACGGGGGCAAATGATGTCGCGCGTCGCATGGGCACATATGTCGTCGTTGTCCCACATACGGCGCAGTCGCAAGGACTTCACATACGCGACACAAATATCGATCTAAGAATCATTGGCTTCGGGCCCCACAGGTCAACGAGCTCAGCGCATCGTCTTCGCCTCGTCTCCACCCGACGACACCCCCATTGCGATACGCAGCGTAGGAGCCCTGCGGTGTAGGTGCACAGACTGTCACTCAAATGTTGCGCGCGCACGGCTTCGCCGCGTATAGCTGTAAAAACGATATCGCTTCCGAGTTCGATGAGCGCGCGCAGCCTGAACGAGCACCAGGGCGCCCAGGTAAGTCGAAGCACCGGGAGTATTCAGACGGAATGTACACACAAGCACGTACGTGGTACTCGTAGCAGTGGAGTTTGCAAAGAGAGGACTTAATCGTCTCATCTGCGCACGAAGGCGCAGTCAACTTTGTCGACCATGTGGAAGGGCAGAACATTTCTAGAGGATGACACATGCTCGGGGGTGGTGGTGAAGATGTGGCGTGCGGGATGTTTGTACGGGATCTACAGCATCCGGTATGAGTACGGTGGAGTAGCCAATCTACACGACATGTACCATTTGCCAAACACGCCGCCCCATCCAGCAAGATTTGGACCAACGACGACCGCGCGATCTTCAGCGTAGAAATGGGTTGCGCACCTTGTAACAGTTTGGTGTCTTCAGGTCCGTGCGCTGCAGGTACATAAACATGAAGACCCGGTCATGCGTCTACTCAGGAAAGTCGCTCAGACACCAGGCATCCTAAGCAGCGGTAGGAATGATAGAAGGGGTATACAAGCCACGGATCCGACGTCCTCGCTCCTGGGACGTCCTGGGATGCAGGACGGAGGCAAGTTGAAGCTATGTTGAAGTTGCAGCCCCGGATGAACGGGGCCGATAATGCCGAGAGCATGCCACATTTAGACGCCCGATCTAATCGCACTCTTGCCGATCTGCTCACCCCCTCCAGAGTCGAAATCACTGCAGACACTCTTGCTTGAATCTTTGAGCTCTTTCTTTCTCTTCGTCCATGTCAATATGCTGCACATGATCATCGAAAGTCCACTAGGCACCCTGCAGAGTACGGTGGCGACCGTGCGAGCACCAATCGCCGTGCGTTGGTGAGAAGCCGAATACTTAGCTCCCCCATACTTCACAAATTGAACTTCGCTCGGACGAAGTGATCGGCAGCCAGAGATCCTCGGGTCATCCTATGTACGCCGGTGGCGGAGTCTGTACACCCTCTCCTTCCCCGTATCCTCTTTCCGTCACACCACGACGTCTCTTCCTCCCCTACCAAGAGTACACTATTTACTCGACCATAATCTTTTCCCCTAGGCACATAGGGCAGACCTTGATGCGTTCACCAGTGCTTCTCCTTGTACGTCGCCGCGTTCTGCCAATACCCGCCGCGTCATGCTGATTATCGTCTGCAGACCAATGCTCACCAGTCACGGACGCCTGTGGTCCGAGCCCCGCGCTGGACCCCTCGGGAGGCAGGACTTCGCGGAAGCGACCTTGACCCGCCGTCGCGGTATGTCGTCGCTGCCTTCAGCTATTACCGGTGCCGTGCTAACCATCCATCGTAGGCGCGACTCCTCAGCCATATGTACTGACAGTCTCTCGTTTTGGTTCCCACAGATTACAGGCAATATACGTTTCCACGAACCTCTGCGGACGATATGAAGACCGATCCACCGCTGCGCAACACCGACCCCGAAGACCTCCATGGACGACACTCTGTAGGCCTGCATCGCGAGAAAATCGACCGGCACGGACCCGCGACGTAGTCTAGATCTCGGGGGACGTGCATGTGGTATTTCCCCGGGATAGAGCAGGCCTCATCGTAGCCCCAGGTATAGTACCCGCCCTTACGGCGGGGAAGCCAACTGCGCTGTGCCTTTATGTATCTTTTGGCACACGAGCAGCGCATGTATTAGTAGTTTGGTTCAATGAACAAGTCACATGCTGCTCAACGTTTCGGCGCGCATTGTTACTTCGTCAATGCGAATACGCAGATGGGCGTACCGCCCAAAGTCGATCGGTCGCCAATCAGAAGCCTACGTAGGAGGAGGCTGACCTACGACACGGACACTGCCATGGCCATCGCACACAACCTTGAATCCCTATCCACACATAGAAAACTATGCAGAGTATTCACCGCTCGAGCAGCTCTCTAATCCTGCAGAACCCGGCACATACCGAGGGCGAGACATTCTGGCCACGCATGTGGTCATGCACGTCGCGCGGGGCACTCATTCCACGCTCAGCGGCGAGGAAAATCTGTGCAGAGAATCAGCGGACGTCGGGCGATGGAGGGAAAGCGAGCAGAACGTGCCAGCATTTATGATCGTCAACGAGTCGAGATTGAGGATGACAGCGTCTCGATGATCCCGGGATATTCGTGTTCCGCATAAACCGCCCATCTGAGAACCACTAGGACTCGCAGTGCAGCACGCGCGGTGGGTCGGCAGCGGCATACACCAGTGCAGCCTCCGAGCCGTTCGTTCCCAACCAGCCACTGGATGTACTTCTGCGCGATCCAGTGAGGCGGCTCGTCTCTCTGATACACGTCCTGTCCGCGACGTGCTCCTTGTAAGACAACGAGCTGTCATAGATGGTATGATAGATCTGACGCACCCTGATAACTTGTTCTAATGTACGCCCCATGCAGTACACGTCCCATGAGTACGGGTCGAAGGACGTTAGGCCATTCGGCGGGACCTGGACCGTGCCGGGGAGAGTGATTGCTTGTTGAACGCCAGGGCCGAGCGAGAACTGACGCGACGTATCGAAGTCGATGATGTATATTCGATTCTTGACGACGCTCTCGTGCTTGGCTGCGGTATCGCAGGTCCCCACTACCAGGTTGTCCCGATGGATGTCCTATAAGATGATTAGCAAAATTCGCGCTCTAAAAAGATTCACTGATGGAACGTACTATATGTGCTATCTGCTTGCTGTGCAGATATTCGATACCCTGGATGTTATCCCGAATCAGCAACAAACCAAGGGAAAGATGTGGCGTTGTCCCGCGTACCTCTACGAATTGAAGCATGGCGTCCATGACTCTCTGCAGAGTCCACCCGTCGTGTATGTGCAGAGAATTTATATCGTGGAGACGTGGCATGATGAGCAGCGGATGGCCGGTGCGCGTTATCTCGCCTGGGACAGTGTGATTATTGGGCCGACGGAGGTCAGGCAGGAGTTGCTCGTATATCCGCATTTCTTGTGTATCTGTGTTGAGAATCTTAACCACTTGGTTCCCTAGAAGTGCTGGGGCTGGGGCTACCAGCGTGAAGAATACGATGCCCTGTAAATTATACTGTAGAGATCAGAGCATAGCGGCAGTCACAGGTCACACCCGGCGCCGCTATGCTCTGATCTCTACAGTAACATTCAATCCCTTGATTGGAGACTCGGATAATTCGAGAGCGACGTACACGCTTGACAGCGTGACTCAAGTGGATTTTCCGCTGTTGTATCACTGGATGGCGGAAGAGGCGATCGGGCACGCCCCCACCACTGGGCCTCCCATCGGGGCGATACGCGTACCAAGGCGGATTGTCCGACTCGCGGTCGTCGCCAGAGGAGGCCATTCCGAGCTATCCAGTGATCAAAGTGACAAGAGAGATATGTTTAATAACTTGAAGGGTTGTATCCATGCGCTATACGGCGAGCTAGCTTCCGGGGAGATGGTAGAAGGAGCAGGATCATCCCCAAAGTCACTTTCGAGTCGACGCAGAGGACCAAGGGCGAGAGCGTGTGCAGGCGCCGGGTCGTCGAATCTAATCTCTTGATCTAATCACCCTTGCGCAAGGTTGGCCTGGTTCTCCGAAATGGCTCCATCATATTTCTCTTCCTTCCCTCTCTCTTCTTTTTCCTCGCCCTCGTCGACGTCGTGCACTCCTTCTCTCCAGAAATTACTCAGGCATATGCTCTGGATAAAGGGGCTCAAGTGAATCTGGTGAAAAGGTCCCGTTCAACTGCTGTAGGCCAATGTGACGTATCGGATCTTCCCACTATGGTCGCTTGGCTACTTGTTCCCTGGTGCTACTGGGTTTTGGGGCTTACGAGGGAATCTTGACCTAGAAATTGCTCTGTCTTCACCCTGCACGCATGCATGCATGTTTGAACCCTCTCCATCCGGGTAGAGACGTGCGACGAACGTCTCTGACGCTGAGTGTGCCCTGCCAGGTTTGAAGTGCCTCATCTGTCGTTCTCTGAGTGGAAACACACCCTGGGACAACCCATTTGCGCCGCCTGTATCCAACCTCTGCTTCAAGTTCATGTGTATGGTGTATTCTGGGGAAGGTGCAGAGTGCTGGAGAGTCGTTGAGCCAGGTACGTCCAGTGCATACGGCTTTAGCTTGTGGCCCGAACGACGGCCCACACTTCGGGTATCATACCATCTACGTCGGATTCGAGATGGCTGATGTTTCCCAAGAGATTCACTGGCATACCACGTACTCACGAGTGGGGAGGTAATTTCGACCGCCCACTTCATGTAGACTACACATATCTCAACCGACGAATTGCTCATCATATTCGCGCGGAATATTTACTCTCAGGTCGGCTTTAACGTCAACGCCCTCGTTACGTTCTGCGCTCTCATCATCAAGCGTGCAGCGGTGGATATGCGACGCGGAATATCGTTCATTTCTGCTTCTCGCTCAAGAACCCCGGTTTGTCTCCGCACGATGCGTCAAGTTGAGTTGCGGCCAAGCACTACGCATGCACGCGAGCCACAATAGGTAAGTATATATCCCAAATGCGCTGTATTGATATGCCTACACGCGCCTCACTGATAGGAAGCAGCGCTCTACAGGTGCACCGCAGCAATACGTAGGCGAAACTTCTGTAGACGATCGCGTCCAGAGTTGGATGTCAGATAGCCCTCCGACCCTTCACAAATCGAACTTCGCCCCGACGATCAGCCACCCTTCCGGCCCATGTTATGTGCACCGGCCGCTTCCATTCGGCTTTCCCGGCGACTTGAAGGAGGCTCGCTGTGACGATTCTGAGAGGTGCTCGTCGTCTGAGCCTCCTTAAGCTTCTACGCTAATCGTACCCCCGTTATTTTTGTCCTTCGCGGTATACAAGTACTCGAACACGCCATTTCCTGGCTGATGCTATCGAAGGTGTGCCTATGCAAACCCGCGAAAGCAGCGAAAAAGGATCCGTTCTAGAACACGATCGAGTTCTTGACCAGCGATGACTTCGACATGTTGAACCTTCGAGCGAGCCACCCTTCTTCGCTTCCCCAAGCGCTGGACGTTCGCCGCCGGTCAGCCTCTCGCCTTCAACGCGGTGTATACGACGCCTCCACGTCACCCGTACTCTCCTTCCCTCACAACACCACGTCTCTTCCTCCCCTACTCAGAGTGCATTCTTCACTCGACCATCATCGGTCCCCCTAGGCACATAGGGCGGGCGTTGATGCGTTCACCAGTGTTTCTCCTGTAAGCCTTCAAGTTTGCCCCATCCCGTTACTCGTGTATGATGTTGATTATCGTCTACAGACCAGTGCTCGCCAGGACGCCCGCGGTCTGAGCCCCGCGCTGGACCCCTGGGGAGGCAGGACTTCGCGGAAGCGACCTTGACCCGCCGTCGCGGTACGTCACTAACTTCAGCTACAGCGAACCGAGACTGATTACTTATTCGTTGCAGGCGCGACTCCTCCGCCATACGTACTGACGTTCTCGCTCTTGACTCGTGGCTCGGATAGGTCCTGTTCTGCGGTCCTCCACAACGGCGACATGGAAACTCAGCCACGGCGCTCGCAACGCGCAACACCCACCTCGACGGCCCCAGGTAGAAGTCCAAGCACGCGGGACGACACTTTGAAGGTCAACATCGCAGGCAGGCCGACCGACGCGGACTGGCGACGTAGCGTAGATCTCGGGGGGTGCTTGGGGTATTTCCCGGGGACGGTGCAGGCCTCATCGTGGCCCCCGGGTCCAGTACCCGCCCTTACGGCGGGGAAGCCAACTGCGCCCCAGTATGTTCAAGTGGATGAAAAGGGTGGTGAACTCGTATATTATATTGTCCAGCATGCATATGTGACGTCTATGCAAGGCTACGCAAATTTCACTACATGAAGAGTGCGAAAGAACACGGTGTACGTCCCGGTCCTTCAAGCCTGGGTGCTGCGAGTCTCAAGTCGTGCGCGGTTCACTTGAAGGAATGCCGCTCCGACTGTGACTCTCATGAATTCCGAGACAGTTGCGAGCGGAGGCACATCCACGCACGAACCAGATGGACGCCGCGTACCCGCTATATATAAGGTCGCAACGCCACCGTATCCTCAACGCGTTCTTCATAGGCCGCCTCGTGTCTCACTCTGAGCGTGATGCACCTGACGCGAGCCATAAATGAACATTGCGAGGGCACAGGAACTCGAAGAGGCGGGACGTACGACAGGAGTGTGATAAGTAACTGCACGTCTCCAGGAACGCGGCTGGAGATGGTTCCAACGAGGTAGTAGGGGGCGAGAGACAAGGGAGCGTACACAGCACGACCCTATCCACACGTTACCTCATCGAACGACACGAACCATACGACCAGGTGCAGAGTCTGGAACGTCTCGTGAGTGAAGTAAGGTAGGGAATGTGATCGGTGGCGTACCATGCACAGGTCATGCAGTCAACCACCCAAACGTCCGCGAGCTCGACCTATAGATGGCGAAAGACTTCGTGCCACATCCGCTCATATACATGTCCCTACTGCGACCTCGTCCTAAGGAAGGATGTCTATGCTCGTCCTGTTCACTGTGCCGTCCCACCAGTGGAGTGCAACGAAGCGGACCCGTGGCAATGATAGACGCACCAACATTGTGATCCAACGCCAATGTCGAGGACGACGAGGAGAAGGACAGGAGGGCACGGGGTGGGGCGGGGCCGATGGGGGAAGATTGGTCGACATCGGAAAGACCTTGAGGCTCGTGCTGGCCGCGTCCGGGGATAGTCCAGTGTCTGGAGGTCGCGAGTACGTCTATGCGAGATCCTGAGGAGCTGAGTATCAGATTGGATGAGCAGGACGGAGAGATAGCGATGCAGCACAGACCTCCATGAGTGACCCTGAGGGAAGAGAACGTTCTTCGCGATGTTCGTCTCCCCACCGGCGGGACAGTGGACTCGGAAGCGACAACCACAAGTGGGGGCGATGAGAATGTGTGGCGAGGAACTGCGGGGCGCAACCGCGATGCATGCTTGCTTCCTAGTACGAATGTCCTGCCACCAAATCCGCCAGGTATCCTCCCGTAGTGGCGCCGCCCAGTGCAGGCACCGTCAGTGTTGTGGACGTGCTGGACTTTCGGACAGCATCCCCAACGCGCGATATCTCATCGCGCTTGAGCAGCTCTTGGGCGATGGCGGTCCCGGATGTGTGGATGTGATGGCGATGAGGAGAGACACTGTGAAGGCTGAGGCGTTCTCTGTGGCGGGAAGCGGTCTTGCCGAACGCTCGCTGAAGAAGTCCATTTCCGCGCTTTCCAATCGCCCTAGAGGCCAGAGGCATCGCACACCCGGGGCCTGGGGCGCATGCCAGCGAAGGGGGGACTCCTGAGGATCCTGCTTCTGGACGAGAAGCCTCTGCCGAGTCACCAAAGAGCGCCGACGTCTTGCGGATGGGAGAAAGACGTAAAAACGGGGTGGGGTTGGACATCCAGATGCGGAAGCCCGAGTCAACACTCCCCAATTTGGTGCATCCTTTGTTGTATGATGCCCCTTCGGGTCGCGCCGGAGCCCTCAACCCTGCACTGTATCCGAACTTCCTGATGCTTCCGATCGCTCGGTCGTGATTCGACAACACGGGCAGCTGGAGCACGTCGTCCAATTCGCCGCATGACCAGCCTGAGAGGGGGGCCCCCGCTCCACTCCGAGGATCAGTGAACGTCACTCCCCCGCCTCGATGTTAACGAGTGAGGACTCTGTGCACATCGGCCTCTCTTAGCCATGAGTGGGATCTCCTGGAGTCGCCAATCTCCCTTCACTGCAAGAGCGGGTGGGGCCCTCTGTCGTTCCGCACAGGATCATCAGGCCACGAGGCCCGGAATCCGGGTCGGAGTGCTACGGTGAGTGTCGAACCTGGATAAGGCTTGGATTTCTGCCCGGAGTCCAGATGGCGCGACCTGGGTTGTGACCCGTGGCATCATCTCTGATAGCATGGTCCAGACTTCTGCACATCTGATGCCGCTGTAGCACCGCCGACAGGGACGCAAGCGCACCCTCCGCTCAGACCCTATGATGCCCGGGGCAGTGGCAACGGGGGGTTCTGGGCTGTGGAGCATGAACACGCGTCCAGTCTGCTGAGAACAAAAGTGAATTCTATCAGCACGCACAGGGAAGAAGTCCTCGGATCAGGCGTGCCCAGGGTGCGTGCGACGAAATGGTTGCAGGATAAGAGGCGGGCGTCCGAAAGAGGGCAGATTTCCCATAAGACAAAACATGCGCAAATAGAAGTTGATTTCACCCGAATGCGGCAACACAATTCAAACCTCCCGATCGCTTCGCCATGCGGTCTCCCCGCTGCGCAGCTCAGACCCCTTCCGCTGCCAACACCACCGGATGCGCGTTATCTGCTGTACGGTAGCGCACCCTGAGCAGCTCAAAATCCGCCCCCAATCGCCTTAGACCTCGGGTTTCCCCGGTCCATCATAGGTTGGCGCTGGGCCGCCGGCGATCGTCCGAGTCAATCGCGTCCAAGGACAGTCTCTCACACTGAGGAAGTTTCCTGATCCGTGGTTTTCTTCTTCAGGCTTCTCTCGTATCGAGGGTGGGGCGCCCTCGCTTTCAGGGTGTCCTCGTGCGGCGCGCCATGCCATCCTCGTCTCTACTGGCCGCGCGGCCCGCCACTCAGTCTTCTCCGTGCCTGCTTGGGCGGCCATCGATGCGCCCATCGCAGATCATCCGAGTACACGGAAACGGACGCTCTTTTGTGAGCCTGTATCTGGATAGACGCGCCCCACGTTGGCTCGATGAGCGCCTGAGGCTCTCCGCCCGGACCCATAAGTACCCCTCGGGGTCGCGTCTCCTCTCTTCCTCACTCCTCCACCTCCTCCCCCTCGACTTTTAACCTCCAAATAACTATTGCGACGACATTGAATTGGTGCGAGCATGCTATAGCGTCGCCCCACCGTCATCTCTCGGTGCATGTTTCATTTCGATCTCGCGCCACCTCCGCTCACGTCATGTCATTCTCTTCACAAGTACTATTGACAATTGGCCTCCGCGGTGCGTCGAGCAACCTGACCTTCTTCTCTCATATGCTCACTCTCTCGTCGCAAACTGCAGATGCAACGTCCAAGCTAGTGCGCCTGCAAACGCCACGAACACCGTACGTCATGCCCCTGCGTCGTCGCTCCGAGCCGCCTTCGACATACACTGACAATGCTGGCAGCTCAGAAGATTCACGACCGAAACACGCGCAAGAGGCCCTCAACAGGGTCAGCGGGGGGGATGGCTTGCTGCCCCCCTCGCCCGTGCGGGCTTTATGCTTAGCGCGTACGTGAGGCGTCGGTGTGTCGTTCGCGGACGCGCGGGCGGCGTACTTGCGCTGGAGCTCTCGGCTGAGGACCCAGTCGGTTGGGGCGGCCCTTGCTAGGTCGACTCCTGGCCGTGCCTCGGCGGATCCCCCTTGGGGCTGCCAGAGCCCCGCTCCCTTCGCCCTTGTGGCGTCGGCTGCGTCACAGAACGTCGAAACAGATTCTTTGGTCGGTTGGCCGTGACCATCGCGCACTCCCTTGAGTCAGGGGATTCTTATGTACAAAGGGGATTTTTAGTTACGGACCAAAGCCAGGTTTTAAATGAAGGATACGCATCAAGCGGGCTGCAGTGCGCCAAAGCGCACGCGTTTTGGCGCACTGCAGGGTCCCTCCCGGGGATAGCGCAGGCCTCATCGTGGCCCCCGGGTCTAGTACCCGCCTCGCGGCGGGGAAGCCAACTGCGCTCGGTTTGTTCTTCTGTGGTTTTGCGGGAGGCTCTTCTCACCACGCATACCTAGCACCTGAGCGCATTCAGTGTCCGGCGCTCAGCTGATAGGTACGCGTGGAGAAGATAGGGGTGAGTGCTGGTATGGGTGTTAGTGACTTCCCCAAACCTGGCGAGAGTCCGAAGGGCCGCTCCACTCAGCCCTTCTGGCTCTCGTCCGGTTTGCCGCACTCACCATCGCAGACGCTGCGCGCTTGCTGGTCCCGACGTCCATGAACTGGCGTGTTTATCTTTTCATATACGCACGGGAGTAGATAGGCTCAGGGGCTTGGAGCTGTGTTTATTGGATGTCGCTGATTCACCATGCAACGAATATGACTATTTCTTTATTTCGCGCGCGCGATACATACCCTCATCCGTATTTGAGGGTATAGCGCTACACATCATCAGTCATCCCAGAGGTATGGCAACCTGTCGCGAGCGATACCGTCGCAGTCCCAGGTCGTAAGCTTAAGGGCGACCCGGCATTGTACAGCGTGATATTCCAGTTGGACTTAGCATTCCCTCCGTATGCCACCTGAGCGCGTAGTAGCCTCGTGCTCCGGACGAGCTTCACGCGCGGGAGTTGGAGCGACGACAGTACTGCGGCCGCCTGCAGACCGCTTCGACGACGCCAACTACTACAGCAACGAAAAGCACTGGAAAACTCGTATCACGGGCCGCCCGGTGGGGAATCGCCATCTGCTCCTTCAACTATCGAACATCAAGTATTGGGATGCAAAAACCAGGGATCGCGTACACCAAGAAACAAAGGCTACAATCCATAAATCAAACCTACGACGACGACGCGCCCATCGCCATCGCGTACAGCTTCTCCTTGTCCCCGCTCTCGTCCACCAAAGCGCGAAGCATGCCCTTCTCGTTCTGGAGCAGCTCGCTAGGCTTGCCGAACTCGACCTGTGTCGTATTGAACATATCAGTAATGCGCGCGACCCGTACTATGCTGGGAGAACTTACGATGCGTCCAGCGTCGAGGACCATCTGAGAGAAAGTTAGTTTACCAAGAATAACAGAAGACTGAGAAAAGCGACGCACGATCTTGTCCGCGTCCATGATCGTCTGGAGACGATGCGCCACCGTCAGCAGGGTCACGTCCTTGCCAAGCTCAGTGCGCAGCGACGTCTGGATGATCGAGTCCGTCTCGTAATCTGTCAACCCGCGTCAGTCTCAAGCGCTATACAAGCCAGCGCGCCTCATAACGAACCAATCGCGGACGTTGCTGGAAGGAGCGGTTAGCAACGCGACCCTTCTCGTGGAATCGAAGACGTACCTTCGTCGAGAATCAGCAGCTTGCTCCTCCTCACAATCGCGCGCGCGAGAGCGAGGATTTGACGCTGTCCAACAGACAGGTTTGCGCCACCACCCGCGATCTCCGTGTCGAGCGTGATCCGGGACTGGTCCTCCTCGTTCTGAAGGTTGAACAGGCCGGCGGAGCGCAGCGCATCGTTGAGCACGGCGTCGTCGTGCTCCGAGAACGGATCGAGGTTCTGGCGGAGGGTGCCGCTGAGAAGTTCCGGCTGTGCGATACTCGTCAGGTCGTATCGCAAAATGCGCGAGGAAAGCGAGGAGACGAACCACTTGAGGAATGATAGTCATGTTTGAGCGCAGAGCGTCCAGGTTGACCTTTTCAGTTAGCAACCCATCGTACCGGATGTTACCCTCCGTCAGGATACAGCGCAGCAACGAGAGGGTGAGCGAGCTCTGAACTTCGGTCAGCACCAACCCTATTTCAGTGAAGCACAAGCACAACGCACCTTTCCGCTTCCAGTACGACCAACGATACCAATGCGCTCTCCGGAGGCCACCTCGAAAGATATGTCTTGCAGAACTTTCGGGCCATCCTGCAAGGTGTGTGAGAAAGATGCACGATTATCAGCGCGTGGAAGTCGACGTACTTCCGAGTAGCGCGCAGAGAGCTTCTCGACTGAGAGGTTTCCACTGGCCGGCCAATACGCAGGCGGCACACCCTCAGGGGTATTCTTCGGCTCTTGTTCGATGCGCAGATACTGTTGAATACGCTCCAGACTGTACAGCATGCTGTTAGCATAGTCGAGCAGAAGATAAGTACGCGAAGGAGCCCAAACCTGTTGCCTGTTGATGAACAGATTAGCCTTCGAGACCCTCGAACCTCTGAGCGTAATCTTACCTGCAATCTCGAACTCGTTGAACATCCTGATTACTTGGAAGATGACTGTGCTGAATGCCGCTGTTGGGAAACGATCTCCATCAGGAGAGTGATCTGGCTGAAAAAGATAAATGCACTCACTGGCCATGTTCAACGAGAAACCAGTATCGGACGCGCTCATCTTCGATATGTACGTGAGGTAGATGGCGAGACTGGTCGCGAAGAGGGTTCCAACTAGGTCTATGCGTGCCGTCACCCACCTATACGCTTCCAGTCAGTGGGGAATCAAGTTGAAGGGTGGATGTCACTGACCGGTTGAGGTTTTGATGGGTAACAGATACACGGGTGCACCTATCGATCCTGGTGTATGAGATCCGCTTGAAGGCCTCCTGAGCACCATATGCCCTGACGGACGCTACAAAAGGTCAGTGAGGCCAAAAAGAAGCTAGTATATTCAACGTGCACTTACTGATACCTCCGATAGCAGCACCGAAGTGGCTCAATACCGGCGCCTTGGAGTTGCTCATCTCGCGCTTGACGGACAGCTGCGCTTTCATGAATACGTTGCCACAGGCGCCACCTGCGACGGCGACCATGATGGCCGGGATAATGAAGATAGGCGAGAAGAGGACGACGGCGAACATCTTCAAGAGCACATAAACCACCATTTCTACGAGGACTTCGGTCGCTCTCGCAATTCTGTTGTCCACTATGATGCCATGCATCCGATTTAGAAAGGTAGATGTAGTAAATACGCGATGAACGTACGCGTCTGGATGTCTTCGGTACACCGTGCGATGATGCGGGCAGTCGGCGTCTTATCTAGCCAGCTGCATCGTGCTCGATCAGAATCTTCACTACAAAGAGGTTGCGAAGACAAACCGGAGAGTAGTGCCCAGGACCGAGGTAATAAGCCTTTGGTGGACGATCCTGGCAGACCTGATGCTTCCGAAGACGTAGTAGAACACACAAAATGCGGCGGCCAACATTCCAGCCGCCACTAGGAGCGTGTACACAGTCAAGTAGCTGAACAAAGTAAGCCATAGTTAGAGGATTGTGGATACGACTTTACTCACTGTCCTACTTGGACCTCACTCGCCGGATGAGTCTCGTACTGGGAAGCCCAGTAACCGAGATACCAAGTCTGCGTCACGCGGGTCAAAAGTCTATCCAATCAACGTACGCACTACACTTACCTGAATGTTGCTGATCATGTGCCTTGCAATGTGCCCAGACATGTAGATAAGCCAGAATAGGACCGGCCTTTTTGACATGTTGCCGATGTAGAGTTTTACTGAGAACCGCCGTCAGCGACTTGGACATAGCCGATAGGTTTACGATCGATACTCACAAGCAGACCACCCGACGTGTCCGTCTTCCATCTCCTCCGCAACAACAAGCTTGCCCGCGCTCTGCTTGGTTTCCGTGTCCTCGATCTTCTCAGGGGCGATTTCCTGCTCGGCCTTCTCGATCTCCGCACGCTCTTCCTTTACCTCCTTGAGCAGTTTCGAGTCGCGCTCTAGCGCGCTGGCGAGGGAGCCTTGGCTCAAGATGCGCCCGTCCGAGCCCATGTCCACCACGAAGTCCGCCACAGGGCTGACCATAGCGACATTGTGCGTCTGTTTCGACAATACATCAGAAATTCTTCGTTCAAGCTGGACAAGTGACATTGGCTTACGACTAGGATGATAGTACGCCCCTGAAGGAGCTCTCCTTTGAGGCACTTGTCGACGATCCATTTGGAAGTGTGCACATCAAGGGCCGCCAGGATCTACGGAAAGAACAGAGTGAGCACTCGCCAAAGTGAAAGTGCGTGAGTAGCACTAACATCATCGAGGAGAAGAATCTCCGCGGAAGAATAGACCGCGCGAGCCAGCGTGATTCGAGCCTTTTGGCCACCACTATGCATACACGATGAGCGAGTACTTTAAAGAGTAAGATTGGTGCGTATGCATACCTCAGCGTGATACCCTTCTCGCCCACCTCGGTCTGGTCTCCAGCGTCGAACAGGGTGAGATCACGCTTCAATGCGCATTGCTCGAGGACTAGAAGGGTTGTGCCGTTAGACAGCGTAGAAGAATCATTCGGCGTATCTACACGAACCTGCTTGATACCGAACCTCGTCGTAAGGCGCCCCGAAGACGATGTTGTTCTATGAAGTAGTCAGAAATCGCTTCTTCAACGGAGTCAGATGAATCGACGAAGACCTACCCTGATCGTGTCATTCTGCACCCAAGACTCCTGCGCGGCATACGCGACGCCACCCTCCCTGGGAAGGCTCACAAACGAGTCCGGACCGGCAGGAATGTAGTGCATCTCGCCTTAACGCCCGTGCACCAAGTCAGCGCTATTCCACAACGCCACAAGTTACATGCGCGGCTCACCAAGCAAGGCCATCAGCAGCGACGTCTTCCCCGCGCCGGTAGCGCCAATGATCAAATTGATCTTGCCTTTCTGGAAGATGAGCTCGTCGTCGACGCTGAGCACGAACGCCCGTTTGCGTGTCCCGCCCGGTGTCTGCGAAGGCGCGGAGTCCTTGGACCAAGTGAACGAGGCATGTCGGATGCCGATAACGTCCTTGTATTCCGGCGCCACGTTTGACAGGATCTCGGCGGCTTCAGGTTCCTTGTCCGTGTCGAACTCGTCGATGAGCTCCGTCTTGTGTGACGTCAGTGTGGATGGGTGCAACGAGCGGCAAGTGTTTGCTTACGTTCCGCAAGAAGTCGGAGAGTCGCTCCATCGAGACTTTCGCTAGAGACAAGTTCAGCGACATGACTGCAGACGGCGTGTAGAGTACACAAACCTTGTATAAGTTGGGGAATGATGAAGAACGATGCATGCAGGTCGATGCGAAGCATATCGAAGACTATAAATCTCAGGTCAGAGGCTTAGCTTGTACTCTATAGTCGGAAGAACACTCACCAGACATCGCAGAGAAAACTCGGGACGCTGTACAGGGATGAGATGACGCCCTAGACGAAGGAACCATGCTCACCTGTCAACTCCTGCTTCATGATCACAGTGTAGGTGAAGAACGTAGACAGCATGATCACGACAGGGATCATATAGCTTGCAAAGCATCAGTGAACTCGCCTCGACACGCAATGCCACAAAGGATCACGTACTTGCACATGTTGATGCTCAGATTAAGCAGCTTGCTCCTGCGCACCGCCACGAGCTCCTCTTCACGCTTCTTGTCGAGCTGTGCTGCCATACGCGGCTCCCAGCCGAACAGCTTCACCATACGGATGACGTTCATCACTACAAAGAGGACTTTTTGAGCATTGCGGTCACGCGGACGAGAAAATTAGCAACGTACTCTCTGTGACCGTCTGTACACGAGCATCGGTCTATACACAGGGGTCGCGTGATGTTTAGTGTCATGATTGCGATGAAAAGGAGAGCAGCTAACCCGTTTCATCTTCTCGCGCTGGGCGCCCTGGATGTGCTTCGTGACATACCCGGGGAGCGGAAGTGTGGCGATCATCGTGGCAAACCCAACGAGAGCGCTGGTCAAATCATTCGTGAGCGCGCGCTAGGTGGAAAGGGGACATAGCGCGTACCTCCATCCGAGAATCTGGTACAGAAACAGGATGCAGAGCATGACCTGAAAGGGTGACTCGATCGCTAAACCATTATCAGCGTCATACAGACATTCGCGCGGCTAAATGAGGACGTACTGATGAAGACAGTGAACATGCCCAAGTTCTCGAAATTGCTCAGGTCGCTCGAGACCAAATTATTGATCTTCCCGACGAGGTGCTTGTTGCCGCGCTTCTCGTCTGCCTTGGCGGGTTCGGCCTCTTTCTTCGCGGGCGATTTGTTCTCCGGGGAGGCCTTACCTTTCCCTTTGATGGAACTAGCCGCACTCGGGGGCACCGCCGTGCTCGAGCTCGTAGTCGCAGAGTGCTCCGCCGTACCCTCGGTACTGTCCTCGTCACCTTGATCGGTGCCGACTTGAGACGCACTGTCGGGGGTCGCGACGGCGGTGCTGGCAGCGCTCGGCGTCGCTGCAGACGAGTCGGACGTTTCCGCCTTCATGCGTACACGCAGGGCATGCTCGAAGACGAGCTCTGTAATGATCGCCTGGATGCGCACGCTCAAACGCGACTGTCCACCTGATTAACATCGTACCAGGACGAGATCAGAGTGTGACAACATACCTGGTGGTACATGAACCACTGGTCGGAGATGTCTTTGAACACTCTGCCGAAGAAGAACAGCGCAATCCAGAACCAAGGCCGGACATGAGTTTCTTTCCTGTCTGACTCGAGATAACTGCATTACGAGAGGAAGTATGAGTGCAATGTGAGAATCATGCATCATAATCACTTGCCTGAGAAGTTGGTTGATACTGATCGGCGCGGCAAACGCAGCGAGCACCTGTACAGCATCAGTTGACGTGAACTCGTGACAACGGCGTTGTACTCACAGCAGTGATCGACATGGCAGCCAGGTTCAGGAGTTCGATTCCTGCGCATCTTATTAGATCTGAATAATACGCCTAGTCGTCGTGAATTGCGACTCACGGAAAACGCTGATGAAATCAAGTGCAAGATGTCTACGGGACTTGTTCTGCATCGGGTCCAGACGCTACGCAGCAACAAAAGTTAGAATTATGCTTAAAAGAATGACGAAGCAATGCAACTTACAGGGAAAGTACGTCGAACCAGATTCTTCAGGTGATCGTACTCGGGCAGTGGCGGCAGCATCTCGTACGTCAACCGCGGGAGACGCCACGCGAGCCAGATGAGCGGCTCTACGTAGATGTAGGTGAGCAACGACAACAGCGATGCCGTCTGCTCCGGATGCAGCTCTAGCTTGTCCTGTGGAAATGGAACATATTCAGCCGCCTGCCATTACTTCGTGAGACATGCACGTACCTCTGGGTAGACGGGGACGTAGTTGCGTGGGCAGAATAGTGGGATGAACACCCCGCTGAACGAGAGGAGGCCGACCTTGACCCATAGAAGTATCCCTTCGTTTGCGTCCGCCATCGACAGGTCTACAGTCGCCGAGGGCCAGACATCGCGGTACATGTACACGCCCCAAACCACCGAGAGGATGAGCGACGCGTGAACGAACGCGCGGAATACGACCTTGGCACTACCAAACGTAGCGACACTGGCAAGTATGGTGAGGTAGGCCTGTTCAAAGAGTGCGTAAGTAGACGCACATCATGACTGGACGAGGGCTGCACGTACGTAGAGGACCGTCTGAATGATGTCGATCGCGGCAAACGGGCCAACAACGCGCGCATGTAGACTGGCATCACGTAAAGGGACGAGCACCGACAACACAAGCAACGCGAGGATGCTCAAGAGCTGCAGGAATCTGTAAAGAAAGATCGTGACGCTGCCCACAGATTCTACGCGTCGACGAAGGAAAGAAGGCGGGGGTGGTGCCTGAGCGCTTGATTCTAGACTGCCGCCGGGTGATTTTCTTTTGCGAAGGGCGTTGCCGACGGCAGGGAACAGAAGCAATGTACCAGAAAGAACGGCACAGTACGCTGGTATGACCAGGGAGTCGAGCCAAGGGCTACATTCCTGTCAGTTCAAGTCCGGACGGGCAAAAAGTGAACATACCTTTGGCTGACGGACGCGATAGTCAGACCCGACGCCGTGAGAGGTATTTGTGGGACCTGTCTAAGCCAGTCGAGTGGACGGCTCATGATGGACGATTCTCAGCCGCGTAGATGTCACTGCTCTCCCTTCCCGTGAACGCGAGAAGGTCTGACGCAGTCGTAGTGGTGGTCGGAGGTCACGAAGAGTTGAAGGACGCCGGATGCCGCGCGTTGTTCTTTAGAACCATCAATCAAGCGAAGCGCGCATCTAACACTTATCAAGGTTGGTTGCTGACTCGGAGGCGGTACCGCAGTGGGTCCCCCAGGTACGGCGGGGTAGTTTGATGTCTCAGATGAGAGCCGTCCGCGTTCAGGCCATTTTCACGAGGTTTGGCTCCGGATAGTCTGGAATCCCGCCCAACATTGGAAGAAGTTCGACAATCTGGCCCAGTTGAACTCCTTATTTGAGAATTTTAGCTCTGTTTAACTTCGGAGTACTGACAGACGATTCTGGATCACAAATGGCGACATCGGCATACACGATTGGCCCATCAACATATGCGCATGCTCACCTATTAAAAGACTGGCGGCGTGTCAAAATCGAGGTTGAAGGCGCGAGGAGGAAAGATAAGAGGACTGCGAGGGCAGAGAGGCACATGGCGCGCTCTCACGCTTGCCATGGCCGGTTTGGCGCGCACGTATGTGATGATACAGCCAAATTAGGCAAAGAAGATCGCTAACTTCCAGCCTGAGTGACCAGTCGACGTACCAGTGCTTGACGTTCATCGTTGTCAGCCCCGAGCCAGTTGACCAGTACGTATCGAAAATGTGCCTGTACGCGCGTAGACTCAAAACTCACAGTGATTTTGGATATTGCAGGCGCATCGGCTGGTGCGCACGCCGGACTCGAAGTCCTCCACGACGCAAACCGCAATGCGACTTCGATCGAGCGGGAGTGCTAGAGAAAGGGGGGATACATTAGGAGCAGTGGAGGTATGAGAAGAAGAAAAAGCGGACTTCGAGTGTGTCGAGCCTTGATAAACAGACAGTACGGCCAGGGGCAGCCGGACCCGAACAAGGTGGTGGAGTTGATCGAGTAAAGACGCGTCGAGGTAAGAAGTAGCCGCGAAGCGTCATATTACGAGGAGGGACGTCTCTCTCGCGACAGTACTAGTACGCAGTCTGGCATACATTGATCGTAGTACTAGAAACAATCGTCGGTAGTAGGTAACATAAAGGTAAATATAACGATACAAGGAAGTAGCATAGGACATTTGAAGCCGAGTCGGAATTGGGATCATTCCCCTCCACTTGGGTCAACACACTGCGTGATTGACAACACATTATCAACGTACAACACACAACTCCCAGCGTCTTTTGCAAGTGACCTAGGAGGTGCTACCAATTACTGGGTGGCGCCTCTGATGCGTCCATCTCGTCAAAGAGCTCCTCGACATGCCCGGGAACGGTCTCAGAAGCTGGTGTCAATCGAAAAGTACTGCTAGTAAGCGCTATGAAAGTCAGGGAGGATGCATGACCTTACCTCCCCCCTGATCGATTCTCCTGAGATAGAGCTTCCACGACTTGTCGTACTCGGGCCACGTAAGGTCCTGCGCACAGGTGGGTAATTAATCGCCAATGACAACCGCGGAGGAAAAACTCACGTCGTGCGGCAGGAGATACCTGCTCTTGTTTGGCGGAGTGACCGGCGGAGACTCGTATTCGTCCGCAACGTCCATAGGAAACTTGACCTACCAGCAGTGACATCAGTCAGGACAGATCCACAAGAAGTTCGGGGAATCAATGCTCACCAAGGAAATTGCCTCCTCGATCGCTTCCTCCAAGAGCTTCGCGAACTCCTCCATATCCCAATAGATCTTCGGCGCGCACCGGGCGCATTTCAACCCCGCTTCCACCGCCGGCCGGACGAGCGCAGGGTCCCGCGCAACGCTCGGATCGAGCCTCTTCTGCAGCGCCGCGCTCACGCCCTGCATATACTCCACCCAGTACCGGGGCACGTCCACACACCCGCGCAGCACCTTGTGCCACACCAAGTTGTGGCGCGAGGCAACCGCAGCGCACTCGCTGCAGTCGGACAAGAAGCATAGCCTGCGCCACTCCATTAACACCCACCACGGCACGGCGCGATCCACGCGGACGACGTCCGCGACGGCCATACCACACTCAGTGCGGTACTCCAGCAACTGCATGAGCGCCGTGCCCGAGTGGAAGCGCACCTCCGCGAGGTCGCGCGCGGGGAGCGAGAGGGCCAGCGTGCGGCGCGCGGCGATTTGAACGACGTCCGCCATGCCCGCGTGGCTCGCGAGCGCATACACGCTCGTTGGGTCGTGCTCGAGGTGCTCGGGGAGCAGGAGGTGCATCCGCATGCGCTTCGTCACGCCCTGCGCATCGTACTTCTCCGCCAGCTCGAGCAGCGTCGCGACGTCGTCGAGCGTGAGCGATGGCTCCGGCACGGGATAGATGAAGCGCAGGAAAAGATCGAGCGTGGCGCTCGCGTGGGGAAGGTCGAGGATGGGCCGCTTCCGGTGGTGCGCGCGGGAGCTCGTACCAGACGCCGACGGCGCGCGGGAGAAGCTGGGCTCCGTATAAAAGCTCGTGGTGGACGCAGCCGACGAGCGGGAGATGAGTGCGGCGAGGACGGGCGACGCAAGCGCGAGCACCTGTCGGTGCACGCGGAACTCGACGTCGTCGCTGGAGCGGAGGATGACGTTCGCGTCCCTGCTGTTGAACGGCTCTGTAGCGCGTCCCGCACGGGAAGTGAGTCTGGGAAACGTCATGTTGGGGGCTGCAGGATGAGGTAGGACTCGAGGAGCTGCAGTATGCTCCTGTGCTGATATGTACCCAGCCGCAGCATGCTCCTCTATGCAGCCGCTGAAGGCGTCTTGTTGGCGGCGCGCCCACACATGACTGCGGTTCTCCTTCCGAGTGAGCTGCGGTACTCCTACTCGAGCGTCGAAGAAGTGTAGATTGCATGGCCGGCGAATGCACATGTGGCCTCTCAGCTGCATGGGAGCGTCGACAGCGGCACCGGTTCTCGTGGCATCCAGTGGAAGTGCTCGCCTCGGGCAGGCTTTTTGTCGCAGTTCCTGCAGAGGCCGTCCTTGTTTCGGATGAGCCCCGCATCCGGTGTCCGGAAGATAGTTTGCAGCGGGTGCGAGTTGGGTGCCATAGTACTGGAGGAGAAACACAAAGCGTGGTGGTGCACACGAACACAAAGGTAGGGGGGTGGGAAACCGTATATCGCAGTACAAGGTTTGCACAGGCTTCAGGGAGCGCATTCATTTCCTGCAGCAGCATTGGTGAGCCTTTAGCTTCGCTGATACACGTGGTGGACTTGGATGCCTGACCGTAACTCCGCGATCCCTTCTGCCCTGTGCCCTTGGTGAAAGACCGCACCATTCGCGCACCGCTTCCTTCCAGACCTCGCGCGCTCTCACGGCGAGTATAGGTGAATTCTAGGCCACGCGCACTGGCTTCCTGGTCCAGCACAGGTACAGATTAGTCACAGGACGAGCATAAGATACATACCGTTTCCTTATGCTGCTCGGGGCGCTTGTCTGTACGTCAAAGGTGTTCGGAGCGCGGTATTTGTGAGCGATGTAAAGGCGATCTGCGCGATAACTTTCTCCGACGAATGCGCGGCGCCCCCGCCTCTGAGCGCGTAAGTCTTGGAAGGAACGTCGCGATGACTCGTAGACTCAGGGTCGCCGTCGCATGCGAACCAACGAGACTCGGATGCACCGTGCGCACTGAGTAGTCTGGACCCCTCTCACAAGAACGTCTATTCAAGATACGTAACTGGTCGTCACAGAATACATCCTCGCTTGCGTCAGACCTGCGAACAACCGAAATTGAGCAAAGGCCGCGCACGGAAGACGCTGACGTACCCTACAGTCCATCCCCCAAGACACCGCCCGTGCGCGCGCGTCCTCAGATCTCGAGTTTGATCTGTCACAGGTGATAGATATAGGCATCTTCGACGGGTGGAACATAAGGCCCAAAGTATGCATCATTACACACCTTAGATATTGCCTCCTCGATGCGAGCAGCAACGAGCGCCGAGAACTTCGTCGCCTGGTCGAGGCCGTGCAGCTTGCACTGGTTGCATCCGCCCACCGAGCCGGTGACTATGCCCAGCAGCATTGGCGAGCGCGCGACGTGCGGCAGGGGCTTGGTCTTCATCTGCTCCGCGAGCGCCTCGAAGTACTTGAACCACGCCTCCCGTATGTGCAAGAGCGTCTTGGTCCTGGTCCTGTTCTTTATCGCGACCAAGTTGCTATCGCACCCGTTTTCGCCCGAGCACGTCTCGCAACGGCCCAGCAGATCTCCATGAACAGCCATCCAGCCAGGTACAGGTCGCGTTATCGTCACCGATATGGCCGCCTCCGCGCAGTGCTTGCGATACTCGAGCAGCCGCGTGTACTGTAGCGCCGTGATGAGCTCGAGCTCCTTCGCCTCCCCGAGGTCGGCCGGAAGATCGAGGCAGCCCCGCGCGGCGACGCGCACTACGCCCTCGAGACCATACGCGTGGGCGAGCGCATACACGCGCAGTGGCTGGTTCTGGACGTACTCCGGCCTCAGGAGCGTTCGGCTAAGCCAGCGCGTCACCGCATCCATCTGATACTTCTGTGCGGCTTCGAGGAGGGCGCGTATCTCGTCAAGCGGAAGAAAGAGTTCGTCCGTTATCAGGTAGATGAACCCAAGCAGGTCTCTCCATACGTCCTTGGTCTCCGTGACATCGATCGTTTGTTTTTCTTCACCAAGGGACGTGGCAGTGCAAGAGCGCGGGAGGGAAAACATGCCCTCGAAGAAGGCAGAGGAGTTTGCGAGGATGCACTTGTCGACCTGGAACTCCATGCGGTCGGGCGTGCGGATGACGACGTCGCCCTTTGAGAGCTGGCGAAAAAGGCGGTCCTCTACAGGAGCTTTCTTGGGACGGATGCTGAATCGCCGGGACAGTGACATGTCGAGTGACTTGATGTGAAGTAGAGGGGTGGAAGGAAGGGGGACTGGATGACATTAATTGTCATGAGCCTTCTTAAAGCCTCCTTGGGAGTACCGCAGCTGGTCGAGGCTCTGCGCTGCAGCAGCGCATGCTGCAGGTAACACTGACCCAAGCTGGTTTTTCCATCACTAGCTCAGCAGGAAGAGCACGACAGTTCCCTAAAATACAAAATCAGCACCCTTACTTCCGTCAAGAGCAGCGCGAAATTGGCACCCGGACTTACACGTATACCCAACGCCGCAGCCTCAACGGCAAACGCAGTGAATAGGAACACAAAAGTAGGTGTGTTGTCCGCAGCCATACCATCCACAACGGGCAAACGGGCAAGCCAACGCTTCAGAGTAGCGCCAGCAACGCGAATAGTACCGCCTGCTCAGAGTAAGCGCCCGCGATAGATACATTTCCTTCGCATTTCCTCGTAGTCCGCTTGCATCCTTACCTGTCCTACATATACTGTCACCGATGAAAACAATAAAATGGACCAATGATTACTCTGGGAATCAAGGTTTAAGGGAATGAAGAGGATAGTGTACTGTAACGACACGTACCCTGCGCACAGTCCTATGACGGGCCCGAGCCGTCTTTGGCCCCGCCCTCATATCTCCAGCTTGACCTGAAAAGTACCGCGTAAGCTGTCTGAGTTGCTACACGGACGACGGGAGACAGGAACGAAAAGCGCACCTGATATATCGCATCTTCGATACGGTGCACAAGCTCCTTCGAAAATTGCATCGCCTGGTTCAGAATGTGCGTCCTACATTCCAAACACCCCTCGTGCGTGGACGCGATGACGGAGCCCAACAGCTCCGGCGACTGCGCGATGGCTGGATCGGGCGTCGACTTCAGCTGAACAGCGAGCGCGTCCAGATATGCCAGCCACGACTTGCGTATGCGAAGCAGCACCTTGGTCTTCATCTTGCTCCGCACAGTGATGACATTGTTCGCACATTGCAGTCCGCGCAGACAAGTAGCGCACGGACCCAACCAGGCGCCGTGTACCGTCAACCACCCGGGCAAGCTGTTAATCTTGACCGACACCGCCAGCGCGGCCGCACTCCCGCACCGCTTATGGAAGTCGCCGAGGCGTGTGTACTGAAGCGCCGTGATGAGTTCGAGCTCCTTGGTGCCGCCATGGTCGTCACTGAGTCCGATGCAGCCTCGCGCGGCGACCAGCGCCACGTCCGAGAGGCCGTATGCGCACGCGATCGCGTACGTCCTCAGGGCCTGCGTTTCGGCGTACCCAGACTGCAGGAGCGTATTGCGCATCCACTCCTCGACTGCGGACATCCGGTACTTCCTGGCTGCCTCCAAGAGCGCACGGATGGTACTGAGGGAAGGGAAGGGATCGCTTGGGAGGAAGTGGCAGAACCCCAGCAAGGCATCCCATACGACGCCCGGCTCCGTCACGTCTACGACCGGCTTTGCCTCGGCATCCGAAGGGGAAGGGATGGAGAACATGTCTTGAAATATCGGGGAGAGATGAGCGATGACGGCCCTCTCGACGTAGAACTCGACACCATCCGCTGAGCGGATTATGAGATTGCCCTTTTTGCTGTTACGGTAGGGGCGGTCATCGGGGATGGTCTTCTGAGACGGCAGGAATTTCGGGGACATGGACATTGGAGAAGGTTGTGACGAGGGTGATGGAAAAAAGTGAGGGTATTAGTGGAGAAGCTGCGGTATAGTTGGAAGACTAATATCACGTGGGAGGCGTCAGGTTTCGACGTGGGGCTATGCACGTATTTCGAGCGCAGAGCCTCATCTAACGCGGTGTATAGAGGGCTATGGCGACAGTTGTAGTACATGAAGCGACATCACTGGTCAGCATATCTCGGGGTCATGATAATGGTATCACATACCGAACAGTCCATGAGCTGATAGAGGACGTAGAAAATATGCTATGACTTGGACTAGCAGGCGTGCGCTTGCACCCCGGACGGGCAAAGTCGCTACCGCAGCCGCTAGGAATGATGTGCTGTGCCCGGCAATGGAAGGTAGCACGGCAGACAACGGGCGAAGTCCACCTGCCGCCAAAGTCATGCGACAGCCCTAAACTTAATAGAACGTTTATGTAATTGTCGTAAGCTTATTGGACGGTTTTTCAGGCTATAGAACGCAGTTGCTTCCGCACCTTATCCGCCATGTAGGTGCCTTCTTCAGTTTGGGATGTGCTGTGGTAGCTGTGGTTTGGTAAACCTGAAAGCTTTTGCGTGAAAGATAACGATGAGTCTCGTGGCTTCGCATTCGGCTAAGCCCTTTTTTGCCGCTTTACTTTTGGGGCGAGGTATACCGAACACCCCGTTCTCAGGTATTCGCTGAGGCTGCTTGAGCACTCGTGGTGCCTCCCACCAGCGCTGTTAGGCTCAACACCGCAAAGCTGCATCATGTGAGTGTGTCGACATGTGCCGCCTGTCCGGTCAGCCCCGCTGGTAACCACAAGTTCTAGCCCGAGGGATCAGAAATGCGACCTATCGTGTCTTTACTGGCAGTTCTTGATGAAGATTTTATCCGTGGCGCACAAGGGTGCGCAGGCAAGGTTGTGAATGACTGGTAAGCGTCCCTCTGCTTCCGAATGCTCGAGGTTCTGTTTCAAGATTGAAAAGTTAGACGCCGATGAACATCATCCAACGGTTGGTAACGAGGATGGTCTCATTACGCATATTGTACACAAAGCTGCACTACTCGTTAGCGTACTTGGCGAGCATATAAACAATACCACACATACCAAACAGTCCATGAACATGTTCCCAGTACCTCAGATCTCAACCTCCCGCACACCGTCCTTGTCGACAACCTTAACCTTGTACTTCTCGGGAGTAACGACCAGGCGCTTTGCGACCTCGTCCAAGCACCTCCGCAGAGTCGCGAGGCCCTCCTCAAGCGACGCTTCCGGATCGTGGTATCTGAGGCCCATGAGTCTCCCGAACAACGTATAGGATATCTCCAACTCACCGGTCAAGCAAACTGAGCGCAAAGTACGCGCCGTACCCGTGCGCCGCGAACGGCACCTCGGACATCGTGCCGAGGTAGTCCACCCAGTACAGATGGGGTGTGTGCGTGCTGGTATCGTACCCACCGACGAGAAGATTGACCGAGTATGGGCGGCGCGAGCGGAGCGAATCTGCGAGGGCGCGGCGGATCCATGACGCGGCGGAGGGCGGGCGGAGGGCGTATGTGTTGCGGATCTGGTACAAGCGGATGTTGCGCTCAATATACTCGGCAAACTGCACCGTATCGCCTGTATAATGTGTGGTCTCCTTGAGATCTATACGGAAGACGCGAGGTAGCAGACGTACCTGGCTCGCCAGAGAAAGCCATTAGAAGATGCGGGCTCAGAACCTTGATCTTATCCTCATCCACCTTCATTTTGACGATGGAACGCGCTGCGGTCGTGTCTGCTGCAACGATAACATAGCCTTTCCCAGTGAGAGCGAACGAGATATCCATGGTGGTGGCGGGGAGGGAAGGACGAGGACGAGGACGAGGAACTCGTCCGACACGCGTCCCGACGCGTAAGTGGTCTTCGGCATTCTCCGAAGACGTGGGCGTCTATGAACTGTCCTCCATGCGCAAGTGCTCTCTTACTGCGATGACTTGTCGACAAAATAAAACTTCACCCGCTCGTTCTGCTTCCTCTTCAGACCTCCAGGCACCCAACGATCCCTCTTTTCCCCCTTCGCTCTTGTTTCTCCCAACAAGGACCCCTCTTGGAAATCGAACGATGTCCGTGTGATCTTTTCGTGTGCACTGGTATCCCTCACAAACATCTGCTACATTGGATGCAATCAAAGGGCTCTACACGATCGTAGATGAGGTGGACCGAACCTTGAGTGAGTGAGTATGTATTTGACCGCTCGCTTCGAGACGTCAGGTAAGTTTATCGACTAGTCCTTCGAGGACAATATCTGCCACAGCTTCAGTCATACGCTGTGCCGGCGACTTTCTTGGTGGGTTGGTCTAGGTCCTGGCAGTGCACGCACCGCCAGAGCCATATGAGCCTCCCGAGACATACAGGACATATGTTGTTCGACTGTATTCCCTCCCCACGTCCACAGTAAGTCTTACTCTTCATACGCTCGTCCTCGTCTTCTCACAACATACAGACCCACCCTCACTCGGGCCACGCTCTCGCAAAGTGTCACGATGCAAGCCCTGGCGAACTACTGCCCTTTTACCGATCCCGCATCTGGAGACGTCATCATCTGCACATCCGACCAAGTGAAGTTCTGTGTTCATCGGGTTATCATCGCGAATGCCTCTCCCGTATTCGCAGACATGTTCTCCTTTCCGCAGCCCACCTCTGATGGCGAAAAGCCGGTCGTCGACGTGACGGAGAGCGACAACGTGTGGCGCCTGCTCCTCGACTTTTGCTACCTCCGCACAGACGAGCCCAGCTTACCGCTCCACGACATCCTCGGCCTGCTTGAGGCTGCCCGCAAGTATCGCATGGCCGCGATCACGACCTGGATGCGGCGGACGCTCTCTCGGCCAGAGAATGCGGAGTTGCAGGCGCTGCGGACGTACGCCATCGCGTGTGCGTACGACCTTCCCGACGTAGCGCGACTAGCTGCCAGGGGCTATCTGAGTGTCAATCTCAGGCTTCCGAGTCCCGTCGGCCACAAGAAAGCCACAGAGCTCGACTTTATCTCTGCCACGCAGTACGCGCGCCTGCTCGACTACCACAAACAGTGCTCCGATGCTGCTGTCGCCGCCTTGACCTTGACTTTCGAGCACGAGTCCCTCCCCTCTCTGGTCCTCATGCACCAGGCGGTCGTTGGCGGATGCCGGCGGTGTCGCTCAAAGGTCGTTAAGACCGTGCTAGTCCCGGACCCGACTGGCGGCGAGGCACGCGTCGCCATCCGGCCGGCTTGGACGAAGTACATCGAGAGGCTGAAGGAGACGATGAAGACACGACCGGTTCCGGCTCAAGCCTTGTCGTCGTCATTCCTGGATCCCGCCATTCGACAGATAGCGCAGTGCAAATCATGCTGCGAAAACATCCACGGCAAGACGAAAGCGGTCGCAGGATGGGTACAGGCTATACTTGAGGCTGCTATCTCTGATGTACGTGTATCACCCGCTCCCTATGTTTCTTGCCGTTCTATCCCTACGATTGTGAAGGCTGTAGGGCTGACACGTGCTTGATTCGCAGGTGCAGCTCGAGGTTTCATGACCACTCCATGGACATGGGGTTCTTCGGCGGCTTCTTTCTGAAGGCGAGAGGTACACCCATTACATGCGACCTGGTTACCCGTCGACAGCTGCAATACACAATTCTATCGTCAAGGAGATGTTTTGCAACGGACATGTATGCGTATCAAGCCTTGTACAATATATGAAGTTCGACATTCGGGCGCTATGCGCCACACAGAAGTAGGTGTTTGACAAGTGGCAGGTACTGTGTACGAGCGCCGTTGGTGCATCTCAGCGCTCAAGATTGCTACATGACGGGGTTCTAATCACAGCTCAACGAACGTGATACTCCTGCAATGTCTTCAACAGACGATAGTAAGGTTGACCGGTGGGGTTTCTGCTCTGCTGCGTTCATTTGACCCCTTTACCGCAGCACCTCTTAAATGAAGTCATATGACTCCCCTCCGACGTTCTCAGTCTCGGCCGTGTAACCTTATCCTGAAGACCTTTTCCTCCGACGCCCACCGTGAGTCTCACTCCTCATGCGCTCGATATAATCCACTTCATAAGATGTACAGTAGACCTACACTCGTTGCCCATGTCTGCTCCCTCGGCAGTAGCTTCGACGAAAACCCCTGTGGACGACTGCCCGTTCAACGATCCCGCATCTGGAGACTTTATCATCCGCGCTCCAAGTGGAAAGAAGTTCTACGTCGACCGCAGCATCATCGTGAACGCCTCCCCCATATTCAGAGACATGTTTTCCCTGCCGCCGTGTTCTTCAGACGGGGAGAAGCCGGTCGTCGACGTGACGGAGAGCAGCACGGTATGGCGCTTGCTCCTCCAGTTCTGTTACCTCCGCACGGATGAGCCTCTCCTGCCCCTTGCCATGATCCGCATACTGCTCGAGGCCGCGAAGAAGTATCAGATGGCCGCCGTCAAGACTTGGATGCAGCGCACACTCTCACGCCCGGACTACGTGCACTACAGCGTTGCGCTAAGGACGTACGCCATCGCATGTGCGTACGGTCTGCCAGACGTAGCGCGGCTTGCCGCCAGGGGCTATCGCAAAGCCTTCGACGACAAGGAGCAACAGGGCGAAGAGCTCGACCTCATCTCTGCGCGGCAGTATAAACACCTCCTCGACTATCATGAGCGATGCTGCGCAGCTGCCCAGACCGCCATCTCGGATATCTTCAAGCTCGCGTCGGTCCCCACATGGCTCCTCGAGCATAAGACGCTGTTGAGCGGGTGCAACGAGTGCAGGGGGAAAGGGAAGGACATCAAGCAAATCCGCGACGCCACGGGTAGCAAAGTCGTCATGTATATCCGGCCAGCATGGACGAAGTACTTCACGACGCTCGAGCTCATGATGAGGGATCAGCCTGACCCCTCCTATGCGCGGGAAACGTGTTTCCTGAACTCCACTATCCGAGCGGCAGGGCAGTGCGGGAACTGCAGTAAGGCGATCCTCACCAAGATGAACACGTTTACCAAAGAGGTGGAGGGTCTCCTCGAGGCAGCTATCTCTTCGGTACGTGCATCACTACGCACTCCCTCCACCCGCACGATGCGCAAACAATATATGTATATGACTGTCTGTCTGACGTATTATGTGTTGTCCGCAGGTGAAGCTTGAGATTGTTTGATGGGCACGCGGGCTAGAGATTGCGCTGAAGACTCTGTGTGGAAGAGGGAGGTAAGTGTGCACACCTACTATGGTTCAGTCACCCCATTGATAGTCCAAAACCGCAGGCCCCATCGTCACAAATATGTCTCAATTTAGGCGTGTATATGTATCAAGCCTTGTACGATATAAAGTTTGGCAATTGGCGCATTTTGGTATGTCACTGGTAACGAAAGGCCGAAAGCAGAGGCAGGTATCCACAAGGATACCGTTAACGTCATGGCTTCACCGCACGGGCTCAGCAAAATAATCCGAGAGCAGTCAGTGGGCCCCGCCATCCGCGCAGCGGCGAAGTGTGAGGCGTGTGGGGAGGGGATTTTGGCCAAAACATACGCATTCGAGTCGCACGATGTGGCGGCCACTATCGATAAGGCAATGGCGGCGGTGCGGGGCCGTATACTACAGCCCATATGCACTCTGATTGTCGGTATTTATGCGCTTCACGGTCTGTCGCAGGCGCAGCTCGAGGTCTCATTATTGATGCACGTATTAAAGGGTCTGCATGTACTTACGCGGTGTCTCAATTGTGTGCATACTACTGCTCTACAGCCAGCAAACCATCGTTTGCTCGTGCGTTCACTTGAACGGCTACAGCGACTGATATTAACGCAACTGTTCAAGACGTGATCTACAATTTGCTATGAGGGGATCCCGCGGACAAAAGTATTCGTCGCGGACAAAACATACAATTTCAGCAGCGTGGTTTTGACTTCTTGAATTCTGTTTGACCCTGTGCGATTTCAGCTCCAGCAGATGTGTTTCGGTCTCTTTGCAAGAGCGGTGCGGGTTCAGGGACGAGCGAGTTCAGGAGCTGGCAAGGGATAGTAGTTCATACTTTGGAGTGGGCTATGACGCCCTCGCATTGAGCTTAATTTCCGAGACGCCGATTGCCTTCTTCTTTCTATATTTGGCGCTCCGCATTCTTGTTGTAGAGTCCGATGCGCAGCGCTCAGTACGACTTATTGACTGTCCCTTGCACTACCATCCGGTGATTTATGTACACTCTTAATCCAAGCTTTGAGAGCAAGCGTCTTGACTGCAGTGATCCGCCAGGGACATGCGGGACCCTGATACTCCCAGGGCAAAACTGGCTGCCCGCACCTTGCCCAGCCCAGCGACTTACCCTCAGCCCTCAGCCTGTCGTCGAGTCTCTGCCTCCGCGCTCATCCTATCTCTGCATCATCACCCTAGCTGTCGAGTATACCTCTCAAAAACCGCTGCGCGTGACTTTTGATTGCTCTGCGGCGTTGTGTCGTTGCGCGTTGCGTGTTGTTGCGTGTTGTTGCGCGTTGTTGTTGCTTGGTCGTTTCTCGACATCTTTGAGGACCAAGTCGTCAGTGTCGCGTGTCCTACTGGACTATCAAAAAGATGGACACACATCATTACCCCACAAGCTGTCGTAGATGTGGATGTCCACAGCATTACCCGATGCCAGTACGTCCCAATAGCATTGACGGCCTTACTAGCTTCGCTCACCCCGACTTAACTTACAAACAGCCTAGCAGTCAGTTGAGAAGCATGGAAAACCTTCAGGGGGGGGATTGTGCGTGCGGTCACTCGGCCGAAGAACATGGTCCAGCTCCGGCGGTCTCAGCATTGCCCCCTCGCCTATGCCAAAGTGGTAGCGGGTTTTACCCGGTATGTAGCCCGCCATCGATTCCAGGCAGTCCGATATTAAACTCACTTTTGTTAGATGAATGATAGAGATACGGACAATCCTCAGGGTGTTTGCGTTCGCTGCGGACAGCCGTACTTCCTTCATCTTCCATCCCCCGAGCCCCAAACCAGCGGCTCAGGAGCAAGCAGCTCGGTGCAGCAGCAGAGTGGTGCTCCTACGGGGAGCTCTATAACACAGGTATGTGCGCTCTGGTCCGTCTGAGCATAAACACAGCTCATCATGTTTCCAGGCCCGCGTTCACCGAGTCCAGCCTCCTTCAATGCCATCGGCCCAGCTGTCTGAGACTTCTACTAATCCTACAATGCA